AGTATTTACATACAAACTTGAAGGGGGTTGATGACAGATCGAATAATATTGCGGCAGAAAACTCAACGTAGTGAAGTTTTATTCGTCAGTTGAAATTCGCTATTACGTCATGATATGGAGTGGATCTATTTATATTGCCTGTATTCTAAGCCAACATTTCCTGGCAAGAATAAAGACCCATGACCAAACTAAGTGACTTTGCCCTCTGGATGCCGGCCAGCAACTTGCTTTGTATCCCAAGAAATAACCCACGAAGTCTGTCTGCCAATGCATTAGTTACCATTTTAGATCGTTTAAAAGAGCAGTCAACACTAATAGCCAGCACTTAAGTTCCCATATCTGCTGATTACCCACCAAACTATCAAGGATACGAGACCACCAATTATACCAATTATCCCTCAAATCGGCCTCACTACCGTCCAATTATCAACCAATTAGCCGTGAGAGCTCCACATGTGTAGTTAAGAGTAAGTATTACTGGCAACGTTGCACATTCATCCTCTGGACTGCTGTATTAAGTTCAGAGTAAGTAAGCTCTTTTAATGAGGTACAGGTCGGAGCATTATCCCGAGTCAAATCGCAAATAGGTAAGTAATGAGCTGTAAGTAATATGATTGATTTGATGTGACTATTTCTTAGCACCACATACTGCTATAAAAATGTGAGCTTAAGTGTTTCAGAATTCAGAGTAGTAGTGGTATCAATTTCCACTCATTACAGGCAGTCAAAACCGTATAAAGCTTGAGGAGTAGTCAAATATCATTATTTTTAACACCTTCTTAATTCTCCCTCTTCCAGCCGACATGAAATCCGATACGTCTTATCAATCATCATGACTCCAATAGGTCGCCAAAATGGAAAGTGGACTCCTTGATACTGACCTAAAACAATATTTGCTTAGTTTCTTTTTCTTCACAATTTACCATTAGTCCCTAATTTAATGGTAACAGTTAAGGCCTACCATCATCATGTGAATACCTAGATATTTAATGGTCCGTAATTATAGTAGAGGCTGAGCTGTGACAGCGCCCCAAGTCACACTTATTATCGTTCATTATAGCCGCATAGACTTCTTATCAACAGGCGATAAATATAAAGAGGAAAGTTGTTAAGCAAATAGGCCATAATTTGGATAAAGAAAGCCAGGCATAATTAAACTACAGTTACAAAGTTTTTGTTGTAAAAATTGTAAATTTACTCCTTCAGTATTTAACGATATTTACGGAGTTTGTTCACAACTTGGCATTAGTCCCAATTGTAATATTAACGGCAAAAGGACCAATATTATACTATGGTGTGTGGGGCCCATTCATTAATGACCAAAAACTATAACAGAGTATAATAGAGGTTGTGATATGAAAGGACCCACAGCAACACCAGATATTCCCGATATTAATTATAATTATTTATACTCTCTCAGACTTCCCATCAACAGGCGATAAGTAAAAGGAGGAATAAAAGTTGTTAAGTAAATAGGCCATAATTACATTATGATAAACAAAGCCGGGCCTTGATGAACAACAGTTACTAGCTTAGTTAAGCTAATAGGCCATAATTTGGATAAGGATGGCCGGACCAATATGAGCTACACTCACTACAGTTACAGAGTAGTTTAAGCTAATAGGCCATAATTAACCCAATTAAGCATAATTAGAATAAAGATGGGTAGATAAATTATCTGTTGATATTAGGAATTGAAAATTTTCTTTGTGAGGTTACCGAAAGTTTGAGAGCCATCAGAACCACGGGGGGCCATCAACCCTGCACTAGCAATACCATATTTGGGAACTCTTGGTGTTAGTAAAACCAATGACAATAGTTGGCAACCCACGAGTTCGGCACTCTCTGGACACTAGAAATGGTGTCTTTTGTTACTTGTGTGCTCGGGATCCTTGCTGTATGACAAAAGAAATGGAAATACAGGAGAATTTGTAACAGTGAACCATTAGACTTCCTCGCATGAATATTCATATTGAAAATTACACTTTTTGAAGACAACCCCGCACGAGATATCAGGAAGAAGTAGAACACGTGCAGGTTCCAGCAACCTTGAGTTGGAGAAACTGTATGAGAGCGGAACAGTGAACCATTAGACTTTACATGAATATTGAGACACTTTTTGGATACAAACCCGTACACAATATTAGAACCGAATGAAGAACATGTGCCGGCAGCTTTGAGTTGGAGATGGAAATAGAGGAGAAATTGTATGAGAGCGGAACAGTGAACCATTATTATTAGACCTTGCATGAACATTTTTTTGAGACAATCTCGTAAGCAATATTAGAACCGAGAGAAAAACACATACCTGGTGCCTTGAGTCCTCGTTCCTACTGAGTGTACAACTCAATTCTCACACACATACTTCATTGTAACATCATGAAGTGTAAACACGCCTAAATTTAGGGTACACACCCACTAACAATGGAGGGACCTCAATTACAGTGTTTAGAGTGAGATGAGAACTGTTTCTAGAAGGGTTCCTGGAAACAGAGCACCTTTATAGTAGGTGATCTCCTGTATAGCTCTGGAATCAACCAACCCCCCCCCCCCCCCCCCCCCCCGCCCCCACCCTCCCAACCATTTAATAGGTGCCTCTGTGGGATGTTAAAATGGGCAGTTTAACACCTTTTCCAGTGCAGCACGTTTACAAATTACAAGATTTGACTGTGTACGTATGTATGTGGGTGTGCGTACTTTGTAATCTAATTTTCGCATCTAACAACAAGTCTACAGTTCAACCGGATGATCAGATCAGGAGGTCTGAATGGACCCTGAACAGACCCAGATGTTATCAATGGGCCACAAATTATAAGAACAATGTGTTCCACACCAGGCCAGAGAGCAACCTTGTACACTCTGAAACTCTGAACTCTCTTAAACACCGTCTTATTCTTTAACAATCCATTTAACAGTCCATTTATCAGCCTATGATATGATCCCTTTATTCTCAAGCCGGCACCACACACGCTGCGTTTGCAAGATATTGTTCTGGAACAGTATCTAGCTCCAATATCTAGATCGAGTATCTAGCTCTCCAATTAGATCTCTGTGATATAAACCACTGGGTTAATTTCATCAGCCCCTGTTATCGTGAATACCATCACGTACCTAATACCTTAAATCATGAAATCATACTCAGCTCTGAGAGACCTATTACACAGTTTACTTACAACTTTACTTACCCTTACTTACCTTAACTTACACAGCACATGCAGTTAACTACTCTTACACACACTGTACTACCGTTCTAATACACACACACTCACACCCGATCGGAACCGATTTATTATTAGAATGTCAGAAATGTCACCACAAGTAGTTAGTCCACATATGTGAATCTATAAACGTGACCGCATTTAACTTGCACGAGCCATCCTGTACAAACGGTATAATGCTCCAGCTGATCGGAATGTCGGTATTTCCAATAAAAAGAGGGAATAATAGCTATCGTAGTATCGTCATGACCCTGAGAAATCCAAGAATCTGAAAAGAGGGAATACCATATTTACTTATTGACACCTAAAAAGGTGATCTCGCATTTGTAAGGGTGTTCCGACAGCCCTATTCTTCTTCTGTACTAATAATCAGAACACTGTGCACGTAGAGATTCAGTGAATTCCAGCACACGTACAATTACTACTGAAGAGAACGATGGCTCTGGTCATGACTGTTGAAGAGTTTAAGCGCATGTTCTGTTCCTGTGTTAGGGGCCCATTTCTTGAGCATGACAAGGGAAACTCTTCTTACTTCTAGAACATACCTTCCACTACACTTCCACTACACTTCTCCTAGTACAGGGCACATTCCAACACGGTTTTACACAGCCTCCAGTGTGTAAACATTGCAGCTATCTCCAATGCGGAAACTGTGCTTCCAGAAAAATCGGGTCACGTGACATGTTGAGAAGTAATCTGATTGGTTAAAACGTCCGAAGGTTGTCCGTGATTGGGCAATAGTGCGCACGGTCGTGTTACAGCCTACAGGTGATATCGCAAAAACCCTTCTAAAGTGTCAGCCTTTTTTCCTATCACAATGTGAGAAATACACATCAGTTTAGGAGGTGAGACACAGTGAGTAGTGGACGAGTCACGTGAGACGTCCCGGGTTCTTGGTACACCACAGTCAGTTACAGTGCTGCTATTATATACCCACTTGCGTGTTGGACATTTCTAATTATTCGTCGGTCAGTGTTCCAGTGTATTTGGTATTTACTGTAAAATACACACTCACACACACATGTAAAATAAGTCTGGAGCCAGGCACGCAGACCAAATTCGCACGAACAAATACCAGAGATTGGTTTGGAATGGAGCAGCCAGGCTGGCATGTCAATTATGCAAAACATGCCGCCTGCTCTGCTCCAGGGCTCTCCTACGGAACAGGCTCGTCTCTTTCAGGGATTGTTCATGACTGGACAAGTCTAGAGCAATTATAACTTGATTGATGACAATTTATTGCTTGATTGAATCCAGGGACATATATTGTCCTACATAATCAATGCATGATGGGTCTTTATAGAGTTGATATAGAGTGTTGAGGAATGTACATGCACACATCAAAGCAGTCTAGAGGACTCAAAATGGGTCTTGAGAACCGGTGGTTGAATTTTAGATTTACATGACAGAATTCCACCAATCAACCATCTCAAACTAGACCTTAATTGATATTTTAAGTGTGGGAAAGTTTGTGGGCGATATATTAATGTCCCTGAGAAAAGCTAGGAACTAATTCCGGGACTGATCATTTTTTAAGTGTACCAGACGATTATATTCCCTGGGCCACAAATTACAACTTGGAACATACGGTTCCAACTTCCAAATCCTCCCTCCACAACCTAGCACACAAAATGACCCCTAATTTGAAACATCCAGTACCGATGAAGTGCTGCCACGTGGTGTATCACAATTTGATACAGTATTATATGACGTTAGAAGTAAGCCGTACAAGTTCAGATAAGATATTATCACTGAGTGTGTGTGTGTACATGCGGAGCTTACCCTCTGGAGTCGAGAAGTTGAGACATGTACACATCTCTCCAGCAGTACTGCAACTACGCACATACTGACATTGCGCCCTAAATTAGTTATTTAATAAGTTTATGTAATCAACTAATTGCTTTAGAATTGTTTAGAATGCTGATTTACGAATTATGTCCAATGTTACATTATTAAGTGATTATACATTTGGAAGATTTTGGTTCATTTTGTGTTTACATCTAGACAAAGCTATACAACAATATAATGGATTATAACCTTATTCGTAGAAAACAATTACAATGATATATTAATACACAGATCGTCGTTTCGCAACTGAGTTTTCACAACCTTGGAAAGATTTTTATTTAACAACTGTTGTTGGTAACATACAACTTCTGCCCGCTAAGTTAACATATCCAAAATATAACCAACCGTAATTTTAATAAAAGCATTCACGATATAGTTCCATGCTTGATCAAGTGATTTGTTCAATTTATGTGCTCTAATGCGTGGAATAAATGTTTCTTATTATATAATGAAATCCACTGTTCAAATTTGTGACCCTTAAACATGCCAAGAAACATTTGTTGTATCAAAATGCAGGAACGCATGAACCATATTATGAACTATTATGCCCTATATGCTCTAATGATAGCTGTGAGCTTGAGCCATGCTTGCTGAACAAGCAAAAGTTTAAGATGAAATGGAAGCTGTTTGATAATTAATCGCTTCCCAAGAAAAACCAACTCTAAGTTGGCGACTATAAAATCATGCACTATCTGAGAATCTTGCATGCACTTTAAAACCGACCTATTTTCATTAGAGTAGAAAAACTTAATTGATATTCTACAAGGCTAACAGTTAACACAGGAGTAAGTTTGATCGTTTTGAGGAGATTTTAAGCTTTTTAGAGAAAATTAAATGGTAGTTTCAAACGATCAAACTCACGTATCCTAAAAATCCTAAGAATTCTAGACCAGTCCGGCAAACAGAGGCCGCTACACTTAAATACATGAGGCTAGTAACAAACCTAAAATAGACACTTAAAGTAATTTATTTGAGGCTCAAACATTTGGCCAACGCAAAACTTGAAACTTTAACAAAACGCCCTAACAGCCACATTTATCAACCCTCTAGATAATTGACCCACTTTAGGTGGAAAAAGATCAAATTAGAGTTACGGAACTACGAGGGTTGATAAATGGCGAAATTTGCCACAGTAAATTTCATATCTTTGTGTGGCCAGCACAAGATTTATTCAACATGAAAAACACTCAACTAGCATTGCCAGCAAACGTTAAGGAACACAAACATCTCAAAACATTTGAATGCCAAATAACTTTTAAAAATATCTAAATAATATCGACTGAAAAGTCGTTCAAAAAACCTAGGTTCAACTAGAGGATCGTATATATTTGTTGTAAACATTCTTTAATTACATGTACAGCTAAAAAATTACCTAGGAAAAGGAGATAGAATTTCTAGAACGCGGTAATAAAAGTAAAAATCCTAGGCTTAGAGTCACGCATCCGGACTGACTTCTTAGTATAACATTGTTTACAAGTCTGGTTAGTGTAAATACAATTGTTCGTTGATGGAGAATAAAACTGGTTCCATCGGCTGTTAACTTCGCGTAGCTTAATCTGCCGCCTGTCCTCTTCTACGACGACTCCTGCGTGAGGAACGAATAGAATGGACGGTTCGAGTTCAGATAGTGATCGTAGGTCAACATCGCTAGGAACGTAGGAGTCATCCTCCTCATCCCCCCAATCGAAAGTGTCTTCATCGTCCTTCGTTGAGTTTTCTGATGAATCTTCTTCGATACATTGTTCGACATTAGCGACTCTATCTTCCTCTAGATCCCACGAGCAGTTGGATGAACTGTCGTAGGCTGAGTCTGGAGAATGTTGGCAGCGGCAGTCACGTGGAGTTTTAGGACCAGCCAGAATACCTCGTACGCTTGGGTCGTTCTTTCTCAGCTTCCTCGTATAGCAACGCTGCTGGATCCCTTCAGCCCCCATGCTTCGAGATTCATGTTTAGTCCACTGTTAGCACAGTTATATTCTTGATAGCATGTGGCTGCGAAGCGGGGAAGTGCGGTATCACTCGGGGGAGCTAATTCACATCGGAATGAGTCATCAGTGGAGGATGAAGAGGATACCAGAGAGGAGGGAGAGGGGAGACTGCGAGCTTGGGAAACTGTTTCGAGCAGAGAGTCGACCATGTTGTTCGGGAACTGGAGCAAAGAAGCCAGGATCTTCCGTTTGTCAAACGCCGGGTTTGTCATTTTTATTTCCTATTGAATAGATAAGGTTAGAGTCGGTTAAATGTAACAAATTTTGAACGGTACATTAGATCATACACAAATAAGTATATAACAATGGAATTGGATATTCAACAGTTCAGTTCACAGGGACAAATGAAATTTGATAGGGGCAAAATTAGAATTTGCCCCTGCACAGGTAATTTTTTTGAGATCAGGAAAACGAGAACATAGTAAAAATTGCCACCATTTATTGTACTCGGTCAACGCTGCTAGATATACTTGTTGCATATATATGAGCGATAATGATGCTCTTTAATTAAAATCTTCAAGCCTTGACCGAGTCACAAAATTTGGACAGCATTAAATATTGCGAGACAATGTCCAACGATAATCTAAATAAAACTTGCTTTAAATCACACGAAAAACGACAAACAGCTAAAATCTTTACCACAAAGATAAATTTTAACTGAAAACTACCTACATGATCAAATAAATAACTATTAACTTCAACACGTCTAATTTAACATTTCTTAATTAACCCATTATTTAAATAGATATCAAATTAGATATTTCCTTGGCGGTAATTCCATGAACCCTAAACTAGATTAACTTCTCATTAACTTCTAATAAGTCGATAAGATAAACAATGTTGTGTAATATGAATTTCACAGTATCCTATCTGATGGTAACTTTACACCTATTTCATCTAATCAAATCAAATGGATTACATTAATTCATAAATATCAACAATCTCAATGATTGGCATCATCATGGCGATGTCTTGAAACTGTAATTACTGGAACATAAAAAAGATTTTTTAAACCAAAATAATTTTTACTCAGATCAATTTAACTCTCACAGAGATATGAAAACCTAACCACCAACAAAATTGGCGGACTGATAAAACATTTGTATATTATACACACTGGACGTTCACGAAAATACAATCAACGATTAAGTAAAATGCTAAATAAAATAAAAATCGGATGAGACCGATAACAGATTTAAGCGATGACCGTAACCAGGTTCGGTTCTGCACAAAACTGAACTCTCTTTATTGAACTCGAACTGGTGATCTGATTTATGCTGGAATAAGTCCTATCGCTTTTCTCGTTTGCCTGTTTGACGTTTGTGAGCGATATATGTGTTTCGATAAACTCATTTGCGTAGGGAATGTTCGAACAATTAAAGGAGTTCCAAAGATCGTCAGTTATGGTCGCTTTGTCTGGTCCGTCGTCTTCATCGCTCCAAGCTCCATCATCATCGCTCCAAACTTCGCCATCATTCTCATCACTCCAAGTGCCTTCATCAGGCCAACTTTCATCTTCGCTATCCTCACTGTAACACTCCTCTTTCTTGCAGGTTCGGTTGTTAAATATCTGGTCCTCTTCTTTCTTGCAAGTCAGGATGTTGTAACTCTTGTCATCCTTCATTGCGACGGGGTGGATCCGCAGAGCGGCAGGAGACGTGCGATGATCGTCAAGCTCTGCGGTCCGAAAGCATGTGGTAACAGTTTGTCCCATGGCACACTTAGTGGTACACTCCGTGCTTGAGACTGAGACTATCCTCCGTTTAGTTTGCCTTGTTAGTGTCATTGATCCTAAAATAGATAGGTTAGATCATGAGAGGTGTTTAATCCGGGACATTCCAATCGTTCAAACTAGATAAACTAAAAAATGTGTATTGGTGCGTGATGTTATTTCAAGCCAAAGCTGTGCAAGTTTGTATAAACACACCTGTTGCCGTCGGTAAATGTGATGTCTAAATTATAATGAACTAGGCGTGGTTAAATTGCAAGTTGCAACGCGAAAGGTATAATTATCAGAGCTGAGGCCGACAACATGTGCTAGAAGAATTATCTCTTGCTGCGAAACGGATATCAATATCAATAAGTCTTATACCAGACGCGGTACCGGTAAAATCCAGCAGTTTCTACCTTGACTTTAAGGAAAAAGACTAACTATCTCCACAAAACGTTAACATCCGTGAGAGAAAAGTCAATATCGGACGCGCTGAACAATAATATCTTGAAGTTCATTGAAGTTTATTGTACTTAACCACACCTCTGTACAAAAGATATATCTTTTGTACAGAGATCAGAAAACAATGGATGCCAGACTAGAGCCGAAAGTGGGGAAAACAAAGCAAACACTCAGTTCGAATATCAGACAATGAAAGCCAGAGTATGAATCAAACCAGAAACCCTAATGTCAGTACATCAAAGCATCAATAAGACGAAAATAGACACTAGAGCAGTTAATTGTCTCTTCATAATAAGGTCAATGTTAAGGGGAACAATTTAAAACATGAGATAACTGGGTCAGTTAGTAAGAATAATGGCAACAATTAGTAACATGGGACCTAATAACGACAATTAAGAAGGTAGACAAAGCCTGAATTGGGGTCAATTACCGCAACGAGGTTGCGTTGCAGACACTGCAAACAAGTTACACACACAACACCGCACAAAAAGAAGCAAGACAAATGATATTGCAAAGCAGCGGAAGAGGAATTTGCAGAAATTAGATAACCTTCCAGAAAAACGCGTCATCACTAAGAAAGAATCCTACGAGTATACAGTTACACGAAAATTAGGTTCCTCGTCTGCAACTCTCAGATCGATTAGGCGAGAGCGCGGCAGGATTTGGCCATGATCCAAATTTGAAGTTATAGTAACTGGATTGCGCATGACGTCATAACGGATAAGCCTTGGAAAACGGGCCAGCCACCGGCCACGGTAGATCGGTGCAAATAGCTTGCCTAAATTATGTGAGGAAAGGTCGAAATTGGATTCGAGGACTGAGCAACAGCGCCATCACAATTTGATCAGGAAGAATATGTTTAGGCGGTACAAATGAAAATTCAACATAGTATTCAGCCGCTTGACAAGGATAGTAAAAAAGTCTCCAGCAACGGTTGTGGGAATTAGCTGATGTGAATGTAACTCTCGCTGATTTCAAAATTGAAAGACGAAATTATGGAATATTTGAGGCATGGACTTGATAGATGGTCAATTGGGACTCAACCGCTTTCGCCAGACTGTTCCTATGCAGGAAAGGGAGGTATTCAACAAAAACGCTACAACAATATCAAATCTTGAAATAGAGAAGGGGGCTAAATCAACTAAGTCAGCCCGATCAACTAAGTCGACCCTCAGAAAGCAACTATCAGATGCAAACACTATGCAAACATTGTGCAAACTTAGCTTCAAGCAATGTATTGCAAAGAACACAATCAAGACCAAGTCTCAAAATGCATGGCAGAACTAATAACAAAAACAAGTAAACCAGCTATGACAACTCATCTAACTCGAGACAAATAATCAAAACACGCTTAGTTAAAACTCAGACTGTAGCAACGCAACTGATGCTGGCCAACGCAGCAGTGTCCAGTAACAACTAGCAAGGCAGCAACCAAGCGCGGTCACAAACAGTATTACTAACGTAGCGTTGCCATTGGCGGGACAATAACGTTCTGGCTGCTGGCCAGATTCCCGCTATGCCGCCAATTGGCCAATCGCAACGCAACAGACGTTTGCGGAGTAATCTGCGCTTGGTTACGAGCAATTATAATGCGCGGCTTTTTTTAAAAGTCGAATGCGCGCGTCATTTTGTCAGTCGAAATTTTTTAACTGTTAATTTTTGGGCAACTCTTTCTTTATTTCATCATTTTTAATAAGTTTTGAGTTTTTAGTTTTACATCTTAGCATTGAGTAGCACAATAAATTTAAGGAAGAAGATATGATATAGATCCATTAAATTAGAACTATCGGTTAAATTTAAACTGTGTTATATTACTTGACAGCGCTCAACCTGTCGTTAATCGTTAAGTTATATATGACACAAACAACAAAGAAACTCCATTTACGGACGTGAGGAGAGTTAGGAGTCCTAACTTAGGACTCTCATTGCATATTAGTTATTGGCGCACGTTATATTTCCTGTCTCCGCCAAAAGCACATCCAATTTGATACGTATGAAATATGTTTATAACTTTCTTGATTGTACACTAAGTTGGAGTTCTTCGACCAAAATTGAGCGGGAAATCGTTTAAGATCACTTTGGAGGCACCTCGACAAAAGCTTCTCACGCTATTCTGCTTTTTATGAAGAAATATGTCAGTAGCGTTTTTGAGCTTGTATCCTTGTATCCTTCTCTTTCAAAAGTATTCCACGTGATTTGTATAAATGCATATAATTATATTGACTCTGAAAACATTGCAAAATAATTTTCCTCGCCCTCGCGATTCATGAAGTTTGAAAGAAGTTAAGCAATGCGCGCAATTTGGGGAGTGTGCTTTTGGCGGAGATATAAACTGCGCCAAATTCTCACAGTCTCTAGAAAACAATGGTACAAAAATTTTTTAAATCCGAGCAAGTTTATTTTTATGGTGCACCTCCTAATTTAACCTACTACTAAATTTAAAAAATTACCTGGAGAGTGGAGACTCAAGCTTTTTTCCATCAACGACTGATTGAAGCTGCAGTATAATAACTAATGGCGCAGTTAAATATTTAACTTAAATATAAATATATTTAACTTAAATATAAATTTAGTGTTCCGTTCAGTTGCGAATCACTTATTAATATTTTCAGTCAATATTGCAATTAAAATTTAAAAGATGATCAACAATCAATGATCCACATTTAAAAACTTTAAAAAAATTTCATGCCATATATAATTTACAAAATTGTAAAATTAGGCCAATAAAAAATACAAAACAACAATTACGTTTTGCAATTTTCAATTCGGACTAAAAAATCAAATTAAACATGACAAAAATATTAACAAGAAACAAATGATGTAATAAATAAGTAATATTAATTACATCATTTGTAATTAATAATTTTAATTTTGCATCGTTAACGCGAGTAAATGGTAAAATATAAATTTAAATTTTAGCCTTTTACATTTTCGATCAAAAAATGGCGCTATACTATCATAAAAATATAAAATGATTAAAAATTATGATACACAATGCATGAGTTGAAAAATTAGAATTAATACTATTATGATCATGGATCTAAATAAAAATAAAAATGAAGAAGCAGCTCAAGATTGAAGATGAAAGATGAAAAACGTTACGCAGCGATGGGCTTGAGCGCCGCGCTTCCCATAGTGCAAGCTGCAAGACAATATACTGTTTAAAGGCGTATAAATCGAGCGCCGTTTACGATGCTCTTGATGTTATTTTCTCGAAGCATCCAAAGTTGTGATGATCTGTAGTCCGACGGTATATGTTACTAGACACCTTTGTTTGCTCTAATTGTAAACTATCACAAATATTCCGTAAGTTAATAGATATTTATCCTTGTTCATCTTACATTGATTGATTGTTCTGACATGACACATTTTTATCGAGAAATCCTTAATAATCCGATGTCCCAGTTAACCCTGTAATATTGTTACATTTTCAGCTATCGACAAAGGGCTTATACGTCATTATGTGAATGGATCTGAAACACCATTTCAACATGCTAGCAAGCTTTCGCTCGGTTATCAAGGTAGGTCAACAAAATTGATGAAATCGGTTGTTGATCCATAAATTTGTTGTGAATTTACACCGGTTGTTGGCTTATACTCAAGCCTTTACTCTTGGTAATATCCTCATTCCTTTCAGCGGTTGGTTCAGAGTATTCGATAACAAACAAGAAACTTAAAGATTCGCTTGATGAATTTGAAGATCTTCTCGAGAAATACTCTGTTACCAGAGTTACATTTATCACTGAGGAAAATTTGCAGGTAAATTCTGTCGTGGTTTTGTAACGTGTCTTACAACGTTGCAACTTTAGTATCGCCCTTTAGCTTTGATGTCAAAGAAATACTGTCTTCAAACATTGAATACTTTTCTAAGAAATATGATTATCTCTACATCCCTGCAGGTGCTGCTGAATAATGGTATCATAGTGTACATCAACCTTACAAACGGAAACCTGTCTAATATTGTGATAGTCAGAACTCTCGCTAAAGTACTCTACGGACAGATAGCTTTTGATGGTAAGTTATCGTATGAACGATCAGTCTTACGAAACTTGATCAAAGAGTGCTTAATTCGAGAACTATTCTAATAATAGATCTCTGATCTAACCTCTCGACAGAACTCTATTTTGCAGGTCATGTGACCCCTTCCTACATGATTCTGGTATGTTCCGGTAAATTATGTCTTTCCACCAACGCCCCTGACCCGGCCCAGTTTGACAAGATATTCCAACACAAGATTGTGAATTTGGAGCCGGACTTTTGTTACGTAACTCACCTCTCTGTGGCCAATAATATGGTACGTTAATAGTAATGATGGTTAATAGTAATGATGTATGTAACTTTGTACATATTTTAAATCTTAATGGAAAGAACGCTTTTTATGTAGGAGCTACGTGTATGTGTGTGTGTGCAAGGCACTAGGTGGTTTCCAAGAAAGTCACTTCCACGTGAAATTTATTTGCATACAATATTATTAAAAAACGTTCATACAAATAATAATGTACTGACTACCTCAAGCCGGCTTTTATAACTTCTACAGAACAAATACACATATCGTGAAACTAAGTGCGGCACTTAGTAAGTGCTCTAAAGTGCCACAAAGTAAGCTGACACAATTCATTAATTCGAGCTAGGATACCACCCGAGAAGCTGCTGTTTTATTAGTACTGTTACTTTCACTAATAATGGTATCATTATGTCACAACTAAAGTAATAATAAGTGAACAATAGGCTGACTTAAACTAAACTGATAAACTTGTTATGAAATTTTATAATAAAAATGTGTTATTATGCTAGATAAATGCGTATTGGAATGCATTCTTTACTGATTAGCTTGGACCCCATTAACAACCTAGATTCTCATTCTATGTACTTAATCGTCATGTGAACTCAATTAAGGCTATGTCACTATGTGGCCTGGGAATTTAATGGCCTGGGAATTTAATGGATCTGAATCAGATCACGTCACTGATTGGGAACCTGTTCAGCTGTTCATCAGTTCATGTTAAATGTTAATGGGGCATCTGGCGATGGTACGAGATCTGCAAGTTTTTGGAAGAAAGTTCATAATTAATGAGACTAGACGATTAATAATTGACGTTTTAGACTGCACTGAAAAAATTGGAGAAATTTCTTTGTGAATTGCAGTAATACTTCCCACTTTTTCTTTCCTAAATGAATTTCTCTCACAGATCCTATTGTGGACTCCTGAAGGAAACGTTATCATCTACTCCCCAATCGGACCAGGTAAACCTTGCTCACTGTTTTAACAACGTGCAAACTGCACCAGATTGCACGTGGTTTTTACAATGAGTGGCTCATTATATATTGGTAACTTAACGTGGTGATAAGGATTTACTTTTAAAAAAGTAATTACTTTTCCTTATCATTGTCTGAGAATATGGTAATTTTGACCTCCGGTGGTCAAACGGTTGGTGAAATGAGGAGATCATTGCTAAACAAAATAATTTTTACACGAAATTAAGGTACCATAATATGTCCATATTTATTAACATAATGGCGACAACACCCCACGTAATTCAACACTCACCTGAGTCAACACTCACCAGTCCCCACCTCAGGGAGTACTGAAGTATGCCGGTTCACCACACCGTACCGGATCTGCGCTGCCCAGTTCAACCCCGCCACCTCAACATTCCTCACGTGCCAGCTGAAACCCAGCTCTCAGGGGAATGTTTTCCATGCTCTCAGTTTTACCTACGATATCGTCGGCAAAGGTGAACAGTTAAATCAGCTGAAGTTTTATTTATAAAATATACTGTTCCGATACTGCTAACTGTTGTTTCATGTGTAAGAATTGGAAATTTGACACCCAAAGAAATTTATTTATTTACTTAATCATCAGAACTGGCGCTATTACAACCAATTGAAACTTGGCACTTAAATCGTCTATTATTTCAATGTAATGTCTAATCAGGTAAAAAGGCACGAGTTTTGGAAGTTATAAAACACAGGATTACCCATCTAAGGGCTGATGTTGTGTGTGCTAAATATAACCACGCTTGCAACAAGGTCAGTCTATACTCTATACTTCTCATACTTCTTATACTTCTAATATTAGATACCGTGGATTTTAGAATCCTACCATACCTGATTGAACCCGCATTTAACTTAGATTTTCAATTGTAGTCTTGTCGTTTATATTCACATTGACCTGCATTTTATAGTAGAAGGCTGGAAAGGTATTTAGAACAAAAAAATTCGAGCACAAAAATGTAGACTGGTAAAATCGCCCTTTTGCGGTTTATTAATTATTCATATATATTATTATATATTTATTTAAGCTTCTGAACATCGTAGACACTTTTTAAGGTAGATTCGCCATGGCCACATTTATATACAAGTTACAAGATGGGTGACTCATGTCTTTCGATCGGTGACGTGGAACAAGCGAATACAAAGGAGAAATCATTATTAACAACATTCACATTAATAATTAATGCCGCGCCGACCAGCTAATTAAGTTAGTGTGTCCGCTGTAAAAGATCAAATTAGCATCTCCCTCCATGAGGATTGAGGCTTTGTAACCTTCGAGCAAGACAAATTTAGACAATAAAACAGACAACAGTACATCCAGCCTCCAGGTCTCGTCAAAAGATCTCTTATCTGCGAATATAAAAATTGTGAATCTATTACATGTTGTTTCCTTTTGAGTCACAAAAGCTTTTGTTAACGTAGAAGCCTACATATTATATTATATATTATATATTATATCTTATTTTCGGTTATTAAGACCGTGGGGAGCTAGAGGTCCCACAAATTGTTCAGCCCTCTGCTATTAAATGCAGGTAAACATCTCATACTGTTCATAACTGACCAGACTTATTTGTGTTCATTATTGCTTTACAAACGTTGTGAACTGATAAATTTCTCCAACACTAATTTCTCACTTCCTCCCCAGCTACTGCTTGGTCTATCCACGGGGAAAGTAGTCCTGCACTGTGAACAACAAAAGCGGAATTTTACCACGGAAGTAGCAACAAAACACCACCTGGCCTCGTTTACCTGGCATTCCTCGGATTCCTTCTTCGTGGCTGTCTTAAAGAGCGGGTATATTCAGGTGTGTTTTGTTGTTTTACGTTTATATTTCATGATATTAAAGAGGCAGTTTTTCGACAAAGGAAAAAGCATGAATAAGATAATGACGTTTATGTTTTATAAGCTGTAATGTTTATGTCCCACAATAATACAAACTGTCACAGTGACAGTCAAATTCACACAAACACGAATAATTTAAGCATCAAAGTATTATATCGATAACAGATATCGTCCGGTTATCAACCGGATTCCGGTTATATTGTAGGGGATGGTGGTCATGAGTCATCTCGCCACTTGTCATTTTCAATATTCTAAAAATGATGAAAAAAGGTGAAATCCGAACAAAAATTCATTGGTTTTGCTACAATAACCAAGTTTAAAACTTTAAATTAATAATACAACTTCAAAATTTAATGTTGTATGTTTTAATGTTACGATAAATTGAATGAAATATATCTTGAAAACAAATTTTTCTTCACTTAAAAGCATCAGAAATAAGTTATTTTAATCGAAATCTACGATAACCATAAATTATAAAATAGTGCCAGATTCGACTGGAACCCAACTATTAATTTCATCCCAAATTTCAAAGCGTTGCAAATATTCATTTTCCATCATGGTCAAATCAGAAAACATTATGTAATTATAAAATTGTCCTTGATCATTCGAATATCTGTGTAGTCCTTGACTTTTTCCTGTGGCTGTAGTACTTTGCTAAAAGATTATTATCTCTTCTCAACTCGTCAAATAAAACAATTTGCTCTTGCGATTTGATTTCATCTCCAATTGGACAGATATCAAGCTTTTATTAAGCCGACGATTCTTGAACAGCCTCCTCCACCTGTGCTAGCTTTGTGCTCTCCGTTTTCCAGGATCCCATTCTCCAAGATGAGATTCTCCAAGATGAGGTTTTCGAAGATGACGACGACTTCAAAGACGAACTGGTGGTTGTTCCACTACCTACAAAAATCAGTTTTAAATCTTGGAAATTTAAATAAAAAACGAAAGAAAAAGATAGAACTGTTAATATAACTGTTAATTTCTCGTTTTTCAAAGTACAAATTTCACCAGGTTTTAAACTTGCGATACAATCACCTTGGTGCTTCAGAGGCTGATAAGTTTGACCAGATAACGTTTGCCTTAGAAACGTCCTAAAGCTGTCCACTGTCAAACTGTAAACGAAGAAGTTGGCCATGATATTGGTGTGGGTCAGAGAAACAGCTATCCGATGGTAATCAAGATGGAACCATCCTAGGTCTCCAGGATTCATCTTTACAAAAGATGCTGCAATGAAGTAGATGGTGACAGGCAAATAGGAGAGAATATAAGCAGATGCAGTCAGAACCACCGTCATTATTCCTTGCCACTTTAGCTTTCCCTTTCCCTCATGCTTACTCACAATACTCAGGGACTTCTTGGCTTTGTAAAGAAGGAAGATTGTAGTAGTAATAATGATTAGATTTGGGATCACTCCGATTGCAAAGAAGCTGATTGGAAGCAGCAGCTTCCACTTAGGAGATGAAAAGACGGGGTTACAGAAATAAACCCTGTAGTCAAAAGCAGCATCATCCGGATCCATGACAAGGAAGCAAATAGGATAGTAGAGTGCCAGAAGCCAAATTCCCACACAAATCTTCTGGGCCTTCCTCTTGGGCCAGGACCTTGCTCTGAGCGGGTACTTTAACTGCATGATCTTGGTCGTTGTCATGCCACAAATAAGGAACATGCTTCCTTGGCAGCAAAACCACACGGGGTACGGTTGAAGGTAGCACAGGATGTTTCCAAAAGCCCAGCCATCAGCAACTAAGGAAGCAAAGGAAGGTACCACGTAGGTAAGGGCAAGGATGAGATCAGAGACCGCGATATGCTGGATAAAAGTTATGGTGAACTTATGCAGCTTGAAAGCTTTGTATTTGACGGATGCTAGTAGAATGGTTGTGTCCCCTAGCAGAGAAGACACGACCACGAACATTGTCCAACCTGCCCAAAGATATCTCTCTGCGTCACTCTTCAGCTGATACTGATTAAAGATGGAGGCATCTGATGTTGCCATTATATGTTCTCGAGGTGTGTATCAAATCTGACTTGACAAATGTTTAAGAAGGTTAGTATGTGTTTAAAGGAATCCCCAGCCGTCCGGGCAATATTGCTCGATTACAGGTGGTCAGTTTGGTCGATTAAATTTAGAACATGGGGACAAAAACGAGTCCAAAAATATGATTAGAACAATGACATATTATTAAATACTAACGACGAAAATGCGATCTAAAAATAAAAATATTAACATAACAATTAACAATTTAGTCCCACCTGAACTTAAATACTCTAACTTAGAGTGCAGCCGTGCTATTATTGCAGCGATATTGTGCAATTCCAGGTGGTTGAATACAATTTGCAGTTTTTAATCAAAATAATAGGTCAGCTCTAGCTGGTGATATAACTATAACAGTTGGTCTGCTGCAATTTCGTGGATTATGCTAAATAGGGATGATAAGATCAAGAATTTCATTTCAGTTTGTGCCATGGACGATCAATTCAACTAAATCTACTTATTCCCTACCACCCTACGCGCGTGGGGTGGACTCCTGGGGTGGACTTTTATTCAGCGCGTATTTTGTAGCCTGTTCAACTTGACGTTTTGATTCGTTACTATCTCAATGTCACAGATACACAGAATGTGAGGTGATCATCTTAAAGAGAAACGTCTCAGCTTTCACCTGGTGTAAAGTTTATCTTTGTACTCAAAATATAGCTCGCTCAGTGTGCAATAGAAGTTGACAATACAATAACCACGTCTGCGACCAGTCGTCAGATACCGGAGTGTTGCACAAAATTGGGCCCCTAAATTAAAATTCTATGACACAGTTACCATGCAGAAATGTCTGGAGTAACATTTGGTGAAAATTTGAAGGGTCTACTGTAAATATTGCAAAAGTTATTGAAAACAAACTAGCTTAATCAGAAGTTTTTGGGAAAATTTCAAATTTTGTACGTAGTGGGGTCTACAGGGGTGGACTCTTGCGGCGCGCATCTGATGGAGTGGCTTTTTCAACAGCCGTCAGTACGGCCAATATCAGAGCACAAATTATTGTGAGTAAGACCTTAATGATCAGCTATGAACCCCTCACTAGAGTAGTAACCGTATCTAAAAACAAGGAAATGTTATTCCGTCAAAGCTCAAATTTTTTACTCTTCTCAGTGCAGTTAGTGTTACTATGAATGTACTAGCTAAGTATCGTTGATCGTAGCTGCATTACACAGTAGAAAGTAACCAAGGAAGACTGCTGATTAACGAAGCAATTTCAACGTGAACAGTTCCAAAATACATAATCATGGCGACGATAGTTCAACTTGAACCTTTATAGTTTTTACAGTCTAAAATCACAATAAAATCACGTGAACTGCAAATCACAAAATCAAATCACTCAAATCTGATAGTCCCGTTACAGTACGCTTTCGTGACAACCTCAACGCTTAAAAAATAAATATTATCCAGTCTTGTGACCACCGATGGCCCTAACTCTCCCTTGTCCGCGAGGAGCATCGTTGCGACCATGGGGCTTCAGTTCTTTGTTCTTCCCACTCGGCTTCGATAGATCGAATTGGCTGGAAGTCAATCTATCAGAATTCTGATGCAGAAAGACCTTTGTCGATCTCAGGGGCGTGGTAAATTGTGGATGTCGGAGTATAAAGCTTCCTGAAAAGATTGAGACATTCACTCGGTCTGTTGTAAATATCAAATAGTCCTTGTAGGCAGAGATTTAACTTATGTTGGGTTTGATAACTAGAGAAGGCGATTTGATATTCATTGATAGTATAAGCATATAAGCATAAGTGATAAGTTTATATACCCTTTTTATGGTACCTCGAGGCTCGATATCTGTATTCAGTAATCATCACTCAAAATCTACTTATTAAGTTTATTAACTAAACAAGTTAATGTATTACCGTCCTAGAGAGGTTTCCTGAGAATTTGAAGTCTCTGTAGGTTGCTGGCATGTCTACTAAGCTCTTCGATTGAGGAGTTTTGGACCCCTCGGCGGTCCAAATGATTTATAATGCTGTGGGCATTTTCAACATCTATCGAGGTAAACGCCCTCGCAGCATAACCTGTAGAGAATGAACATGTCATCAATGTGAAGTTCAATGATAAAAATCAGAGTGGCCGATTTCAACGGGCAGAATTCTAATATCATGGCCATGGGGAATGGACTATTTTTTGTCGATTTTGCAAACCAAACTGGCAAACGATTGTTGATTTTCGTCACTAGTCTAAAATGAATGCAAACGTTCGGCCGAACATTTACATGATTAGAAACTTACCGGTTTCTTTCGTTATTATGTACAGACATGGCCGGGCTTGGGTTCCGCATACGATATCTTCTATCAGATTAAAGTTGAACCCACACTTTGTACTGCTCGTGGGAGGAGGAAAGCAAACGGAGACCTTTTCCATGAGCATCTCGTGTAGTACCATCATCATGTCGATTCTGATATCAGCTGCAAAATTCGTCTATTACTAAATGCTAGCTTTTCGAACTTCGTATCTTGGAAATAACAACTTCTATGAAAGAACACACACACACACACACACACACACACACACACACACACACACACACACACACACACACACACACACACACACACACACACACACACACACACACACACACACACACACACACACACACACACACACACACACACACACACACACACACACACACACACACACACACACACACACACACACACACACACACACACACACACACACACACACACACACACACACACACACACACACACACACACACACACACACACACACACACACACACACACACACAGACACACACACACACACACACACACACACACACACACACACACACACACACACACACACACACACACACACACACACACACACACACACACACACACACACACACACAGACAGATACACACACCCACAAACACATACAGACATAGCCACACACACACACACAGAGACACAGACATACAGGCATACAGGCATAAACACAGACACAGACGGACACACAGACAGACACACAGACAGACACAGTTACACACAGACAAGGACACACAGACACACACCCACAAACACATACAGACATAGACACACAGACACAGGCATAAACACAGACACACACAGACACAGACGGACACACAGACAGACACAGTACACACAGACACACACAGACACACACACATAAACACACATAGTTCACTTCAGTGCACTACATTACAATTACAGACACACGCAGTACAATCAGAGACACACACACGATACAAAGACAGACACAGACACAAACACACAGAGTACACTTCAGTACAATCACAGACGCAGGCACAAAGACATATACAAGAAGAGCAGATTGAAGTACCTTCATTTGCAGATGTTGACGCATTGATCTGTGGGATATGTTCTTCAGTCTGTAACTGATCATCTGCTAGAACTGTCTCATCTGGATCAACCGGAGGAGTATCTTCCGGCAGGAGTCTGAGTGGGTCTATCGAGACAGCCATGGATCGCTCTCCGTACCTTGCTGAATTAAAGACAAAGGTCAACGACGGATGTCGCATGTTAGTCCTGTAACTAAATGTAATCCAAAATAGTGAATAAATAATTTTTACATCTGAACGATTGTATGTCTGAATGGTGATTTTTAATCAATGAACAAAAGTTCAGGATTTTACCTTCTGTTAAGCTGTTAGCAATGACTCTAGCACCCTCTCCCTACAAAACGACCATATCTCGGGCTGAAGCTTTAAACCGTCTTGCCTCAGCAGCCATCTAGCACAGTCGACCTGTCCTGTTAATTGTGTGATAATCAAGTTACCAAATTTAATCCTTCAATATTCAAATAATTGATTATTAGACAAAACAGAGTTTAGAGCTCGACGTATGCTTCAGGGTTTCACACTGTGCTGTAATCAAACGCATGACTAAAACCTCTTGCTACTATTACCAATAAACCCATATTGTTAAGGCGGTCGAATGATTTACCTGAGTTGATCGCGTCCATGAAAGGGTTAAACTGCGTTCTGTCCAGCTTGTTAATGTCCGTTCCAGCAGCCAGCAGTGCCTCCGCCTCCGTCACTCTCCCTGCTTTGCATGGCCAGTGAAGCGTAGAGCTCCCCTCTAAGCTCTTTGACGATCCGACGAAGGATCCAGATTCCCTTCTTTTCTTTTGAGATTGCTTCAATTCTTCCTGGAGTATGCGGATTACCATTTATATACTTCCATACAGGGCGCGTGAACAATCAGCAATGAATTATCAATTAATCAATCTAGTTTTTGAGTAGAAAGTCCACAGATTGTGATACATTGGATTTGATATTGGAAAAGACATAGCTTACCAAATACCTTTTCATGTGCTTTTTGGAGGACAGGGATGACTTATTCCTGCGTGCCATTACACCATAACTATCTGCTGTAACAGCAAAAATTAGAATTATGTCGGACATAATTCTAAAAAATTGGAACATCGTAGTTAATCAGTGTGGTGCTAACAACAGAGAGCGATTTGAACGGTAGGCAATTTCATAAATTCCATTAACGCGATATAAGGATGATTGGAACAGGCTAAAATCTACTATGTAGCATTGATAACTGGCTATATCGCTGCATTAAACGATAAAAGTATTGCTAACTATGGATATTCTAAGTGATCTAGGCAGAGGGGAACCGGCACAGCCAGATTGCGTTGTCTTCAGTGACTAAGTTTCACGATAGTAAAATTGACCTTATATATTTTTAAAAAGGATGCACAGTTCAAGCAATAAATCGATCAGCTGCTCATATGATATTTGCATTTAAAGGAGGGCCCAGTGCAGTGACAAGTAAGTCTGTTAAGGCAACATTTAGTTCTGAGATTAGCTGAGTCTTGACAAAGATAAGTTGAGTTTCGAGAAAGTGCACACGGATAAAGTTATCAAGTGAAAATGATAAGACTAAGTTAGGGTCCAGTCAACAGAATGGCAGCTGTAACAGAAACAGTTCATTGGATAGGGGAGTAGGGGATTATGACGGAGTGAAGTTTATATAGCAGGGCAAACAAAAAACAACTGACAGCACTGAGCAAGTGAACTGGAAAATTGAGGAAGGGAAATAACTGTGGTTGTCAGCCCTTTCCGTAGCAATCAGGATTTCCCACGAGATCGATCAGGCAATCAGGATTTCCCACGAGACTGCTCGATCCGATGCGCGCACTTTTGTCACGTGACGGCCACGTGACGCTCAAATCATTGTCACGTGGTACAGAAGGAAGGTTCCTAGAGCGTCGATCTAGACAAGAGGGAGTTTCTCACGGTTTATCTTCAATAACTATCGCTATTTTTATAGTAGAGAGTTGAAACTTTCACCAAATGTTTCCCTAGACATTTCTGCATGGTAACTGTGTCATAGAATTTTAATTTAGGGACCCAATTTTGTGCAACACTCCGGTATCTGACGACTGGTCGCAGACGTGGTTATTGTATTGTCAACTTCTATTGCACACTGAGCGAGCTATATTTTGAGTACAAAGATAAACTTTACACCAGGTGAAAGCTGAGACGTTTCTCTTTAAGATGATCACCTCACATTCTGTGTATCTGTGACATTGAGATAGTAACGAATCAAAACGTCAAGTTGAACAGGCTACAAAATACGCGCTGAATAAAAGTCCACCCCAGGAGTCCACCCCACGCGCGTAGCAGTGGCGTAACGAAAGGCCCTGCTGACCCCGCTGTGCAGGGGGGCGCCGTCTTAGGGGGGCGCCAAATCGTCGTTTGAATGTGGGACAATTTCGAAAACTTAACTAAAGTACTAGCAAAACTGCGCGTTTTGCTCTAGATACACACTTTTTTAGAGATTTTACCGGCGTATTCTCTAAAATCACCTAATTTGTTCAATTTTAGGGAGGGGCACCAAAAGGGGAGGGGGCGCCAACAGGGGGGCGCTTTTTTCGGCAGGGGGGCGCCAACAGGCAACGTTACGCCACTGGCGCGTAGGGTGCCTACGCTACGGCCCAGGTAGCTAAAAGACTAGATGGTCAGGCATACAAAATGAAAAAATATTGCTTTCAAAAGCCAAAAGAAAATCGCACTCCCTCGTTATTATGTTATTATGGTCACGTCTTTAGCTCAGAATTTAACTTTTTTTACAGACTACGTCATAATAATTTAAATGGTACCTAAGCCACCTGTTTCTAAGAAATAGATAATCGGTCACGAACAGATCAAGCGGTTCCTCGGCGACACTACCAAATCTTGAAAACTGAACGCTACTAATTTAATTGAAGTATGATATAACCCGATATAAACCGCTACAGTGTAAGTGCAATAACGAATTAAAATGAACTAAGCACTTAGTAGCCACGACTACGCTGGCAAACTGCGAGATTAACTCAACCACTTTACCAGTACAGCACTCAGATTGGTTCAAGCTGCTGGTAAAAAAAGGGAAAACGCGGTATAAATTGTAATACTACAAGATCAGAACTAAATGGTAGTTCTAAATGGTAGCGGTACAGTTGTGAGGGGGTGGTGACTACTGATACTATTGTATGAACTGGAGATACCGAGATACCATCCACCTTCTGTGATCCCCCAGACGCTTATAATTAACCAATCAGGGACTGGATTCGGGGGATCAAAAGATTGTTTTATTAATGAAAATGCTGAGAGGGAGTTAGGCGTAAGACTGGACGTTAAACAGTGGTTCAATAACCACCACCGTGGAATGTTGACACTTATGGCGCACGGGTCAAATTGGTGAGAATTTTGCAATCAGATATTCTTTTAAAAATCAGTAACTGTGCGGTTTTCTGACGCTAAGATCTAATGACCTCGGCCACCTCTCCTTTCTGCAGACTTCTCTCTTGGGATATTCCGCCTTCTTGGATCTGACACCAAAGAAATGCTATGATCAAAATTTCATGATCAAAATTTGGAAATTTCTTGGTATCACTAAAGTTCAACATACAATTTCTAGTTTGAAACCAAAGATTCAAATATAAATTGTAACCTCAGGTATACGATGAAACACTGCAGATAATGTCTACAAGTTTTGGTGGCTTCCCTGATAGTCAGATGGTAGATATAAACCGTATCTTCAACATCATCCGGAGTGTCTCCTCCGTAGAGCTCCAAGGAAACAACATTGCTGTCGTCATGGAAAGAGGTACAGAAATGGCGGTAAACTGCTGGCTTAAATCCTTTTTATTTCGTTCACTTTGCTAGTTCCAACGAAGTTACTTTCACTTTCACTTTCACTTTCACTAGCGTTCTCTAATAAAATCCCTCTTCTCCAGGTCCGCTGATAACGATGAAGGTGGTAATGCCAAACACAGAGGTTGGAGCTGCTTATTTCAACAAACTACTTCAGGTTTACTTCTACCGTCATCAGTATAAAGCTGCCTCTAGACTGCTCAGGTAATTAATTAATTAGCTTATTAAAATTGTGCTTTCGTACATTCTTCTCTCAATTAGCCATAACCACGAAAATGGCCCTTTTCTTGGACTCAATGATTATGCGATTTGCCTTTGTTAACCCAGCATGCAAGATATTCAAAACATCTGCCCTTGAAATGTACAATACACCCTTACAATACATGCACGATAATTGCGTGTACATTCCACGTTGTCCCCCACTACTACATTCCACTCTCTCCAGGAACTGTTTACATAGATTCAGCTCAGAAGACCAGCTCCTCTCCACTATCAGGGACCTGGTGAAGCATCTGGTGGCTGCACACTTTAATGAGAGTGTATTTGCTGTTGGTGCCGAGGTGAGCATTGAGATTCTCATTGTTTTAATAAGGAATCTCATACAATAAACACAGAGCGCCGGCGTGATCGGTGCCTTGAATAGTACAAAGGTCCCATACAGTGTTTTATTATTTTAAATGCGCGGCGCCAAACAGGACGGAAATCGCCGATTAGAACTTGCGTACGACTAACAGATTGAAATGAGTTGCAATATGAATAAGTAGTATGAAACACATGCCCGGCGATGTAAAATGAAGTCTCTCTCCGTATTAAATAAAACAGGAAGAGGTTACAATTTTCAGTGATCTGCTAAACTTTATTTTATTTTACAAATAGTACATATACAATACAGCAAATAGAATTAAAATAAACGACATCATGGGGTATTATGCTGAGTAAAAGTCGTAGACCATATTGTAGAAATGCTAAAAGCATCCCAAGCATGGGTAAGTGGTACAAGTTCTGGGGATATACGTATTACAGGTAATATTTCTACCCCCAGACTCACTAACACCACCTCCATCTAGCACTATTTATAGCGGAGTTATCGTTTAAAAACACTTATATATCTGGTCCCCACTTGTAGACTGACTGATATTAGAGATCATGGTTTGCCTCTTATTATTTGCTATATCCACCATGCCACTACCACTCAAAACTCGAAAGATAATAAACCTTTTAACAAAGAATATCAAATGATGGAGTAGTTCGCTGTTTATTAGTCTCATGATTGAAATATTGATAGTTGGATAATATCCGGTTGGAAGAGACAAGGTCTCGAATAAAACAGGAAGTTATCCAACCGGATATTATCCAACTATCAATATTTTAACTAAGACACCTACATTTAAACAAAGTCTGGCAAAAGTTAATGTCACGTGTGTTGAATAACACGTGTGTTGAATAAGGCGCCCGGGCTAAATTAGTCTACTTGTACAGTGTATGACGCTACCACAGAAAGAGTCCTATTATTGATGCTCCTTTACCTTATTATTGACTTGATCGACCTTACGTTGCCTTTATTCTCTTGTATTATTGGGTTTGCTTTACACAGCTTTGTGAAGATTGTGAAGACTTGTTCTATGAGATTGTAGAACCGATTAATTAGTAAATGAAGGTACTTAGGCTCACAGCTCAGTACAGTACAGCAGTACAGTACAGTACAGCAGTACAGTACAGTACAGCAGTACAGTACAGTACAGCAGTACAGCAGTACAGCAGTACAGCAGTACAGCAGTACAACAGTACAGCAGTACAGTACAGTACAGCAGTACAGTACAGTACAGCAGTACAGTACAGTACAGCAGTACAGTACAGTACAGTACAGTACAGTACAGTACAGTACAGTACAGTACAGTACAGTACAGTACAGTACAATACAGTACAGTACAGCAGTACAGTACAGCAGTACAGTACAGTACAGTACAGTACAGTACAGTACAGTACAGTACAGTACAGTACAGTACAATACAGTACAGTACAGCAGTACAGTACAGCAGTACAGTACAGTACAGTACAGTACAGTACAGTACAGTACAGTACAGTACAGTACAGTACAGTACAGCAGTACAGTACAGTACAGTACAGTACAGTACAGTACAGTACAGTACAGTACAGTACAGTACAGTACAGTACAGTACAGTACAGCAGTACAGTACAGTACAGCAGTACAGTACAGTACAGCAGTACAGTACAGTACAGTACAGTACAGTACAGCAGTACAGTACAGTACAGTACAGTACAGTACAGTACAGTACAGTACAGCTCAGTATACGCAAGACGGACAATATCTCTCTACTTTAGATTTGTTTGGAGAGGCGAATCATACACAGTTTAGGCTCTTGAAATCTTCGATATAAAAATCATCTTGAGAGAACCTCCTGAATAGAATTAAGTTAGGCTCATATTTAGGTGAAACAAAACAGTCTTAAAAACAAAAATCCCAAAAATTTCGTATGAATGGAAAAAATCTTTTATTGTCAACAAATTTAACAGGACACCAATCAATAACAAAAACATAAATACTGTCAAGAATAAAGAAATCTCTCTATGTGATACCTAGCAATACAAGAAATCCAATAAATAAATTATTGATGTACAAATTGACAACAGCATTGAAATGGAGTAGGGACATCTTGCCAAGAGTGGTTGTGGTTCAATAGTTAATATAGTCTGAATGCTTTTAATGAAGAAATGTTAGAACTGTATAAGAAACAATCAGCAAATTTGCAGCCTAGAACGACGGAAATTACAAAAACAATCTCATCCCAATACAAGTCCGAACAATTTTGTATCCTGTACGGATGAGCAATAAATCCCACCTCTACCCCCGCTTACAATGGTGAAAAGAGTCTAGATTAATGAAGGGAGCGTTCACCTAAGGTTTCATGTTGCCCTGATGTGACACGGCAGTACTAGACATTGCAGCTGGTTTTAGGTAATTACGATATTAAGTTCGGGGCACCACAGTAGGCCTGTTAAGAACAATTATGAGATTGCTGTCCTTTCATCATACAATTGGTAGTGGGATATGTCATAACCATTGAAGTTAAATTTTTGCCGGTGGTAGGCTCGAGGGATTGTGTTTCCGTCGTGGTACTTTATTTGTAATGCATAATACGAATTAGAGTTAAAAATAAAGGGAAAGTATGTCAGACAATGAGGTCGAATGAGTCAGAAAATAACTGACGGTAACTATCATGGCAGGAACGGATCAATGAATGGGGAACCTCTTATTTTAAAATTAAATCCCGGAATTCCGTATAGAACTTCCCGAACTTAACAGGAACTAGGTGGTTCACACTGTTATTTATTAATATTCTTTAAATGCTTACTTCGAGAGTTTTATAACGTGCATTAATTCGAGCACTCTTGGCTACCGCTCTCAATAAATCTACAATTTAATTGATTTGTCTAGTTCCCATCATGTCAGTTGCGTGCCACACAGAAAAGTTAAATATTATAGATTATTATAATTCAGCTGGAGTCTGGACACCTGGCCTAATGTTGTCCAATATTTCAGGTTCTACTTTTATTGAAGAAAGAAAAGAACGTGTCAGAGAAAGGAAGATTGGTACTTACGAAACTGGCTCTTAAATTTATCCTGAAAGCTTTACACTGCAAACTTTACCGTAAGTAAAACTGCACGTCTCGTTGATTTAATGAAAATCCGGCAATCCGATCAAAAGCTTGAAATGTTTTCGGCTCTTGTTCTCAGACACTACTGAGATAGTCAGACAACAATTAAATAAAATTTAACAAACTGGAGCAGGTTTTGAACCGATTATAACTTCGCTAGAAATCGATTTCTTCAGAACTAGAGTTCAGGAGATATGGTCTGTGAGATGAATTAGGAGTGGAGGTGATGAAAATAAATTGAGTTAAGTTCGTCGAGTTTAACGCATGCTGGTGCTGCACGGTGTGAGATAAAATTGGGATAACTTTTAGTTGTCTAAGAAAAAATTATATGGAGTTGCTATAAAGAATATAATGCTTTTGAAGTAATAAGATTACGAAATTCGATCAAATTATGAACATCTTGAGTCAAGCTGGGTCAATCGACGTCTAGATGTGCATTGTGAATCAGTGCTGATTCAAACAGAATATTGAACTGATTGTGAAATCTTTTCTTTACTTATTGTTGATGAGAAAAGATCTATTTTTCGATTTTTTCAATTTCTGAAAAAGGAAAAACGAGTCAAGCTGGGTCAATTGACGTCGAGATGTAATGTGCATCAGTGCTGGCAACAAAGCAAAGGAAGTTGCGAAATATCAATTAATGTGTCAGTAAATGTGCTTTTATTTATTTAAGGAGGAGTGTTGAATGCTAATGTTATATCTGAAATTGCAGGAGAAGCCCTGAAGCTGGCACGGAAGTTAGATAACGAACAGATTATAGGACTGGTGGACCAGTACGTCAAGTTTTGTGGATTGTCGGTCACGTGCAAGTCACCTGATCAGATAAAGTTGTCTAGGAAACCCACGCGGATTAATGCTGAGAAATCGAATGATCCTGTTTTATCTATCACGTGACGATCACGTTTATATAATATCTTACTGATATATTATATTCTAAGAACCTCCGCTATGTTTTAAGCCCGGTTAAATTAGTTTGAGTTTCGCTGGGTGCAAATACTGATTTTTGTTGGGGACCGGCCCGAAGTAAAAATGATATTAGGATATCACTTATTTTCAGTCACTACTTATTTTCAGTCAGTACTTTGTTCATAATATGTATTAGTGATTATGTTTGTATTATTATGTACAGTGTTTATAATGATTATTATTGCTATGTCAGATTATTTATGTATGATGTAAATAATATCAATTTATTAAGTTATTTTGTACATTAAGATCAATTCCATTTGATGCACTCTCAGCTTTTAACTTTTTATTGTTGTTCGATTGTTTTCATTAATTTAATATTGCACAATGTTTTTCACGAAGTGAGCTCTACCCTCCTGAACTTTACCTGCTTATACTGGAACAACATTTTAAACCACTCACGTGACTGCAACCACCCAATCACGTCACTTCAATAACCGCCCACGTGACATCGTCTAACCGCCCACGTGACATGGTCTAACCGCCTCCCTTTTAGCAGCAGCCATGTCTCGTATCCCCAACACGAGCAGCATGGTCAGCCTCAAGGTGGATAATATCTCCTACCGGACCAGCACGGAGGACCTAAAACCACTGTTTGAGAAGTACGGTGATATCGGGGATATCTACATTCCCAGAGACAGGTACTTAAGTAAACTTTGGTACATAAGTTGATGAATTGTGTAAGTTTTATCGACATTTTGTTTATCAGAGAGGACGATTTAAAATTGGAGATAGAGCTAAGAACTATTCTTGCAAAATTAAAATTAACCCAATTCGTTTAATTTTTCATCTAAATCCAACTCTGTTCAAAGGTACACCAAAGAAAGCCGAGGGTTTGCGTTTGTGAGGTACTACGGTAAACGAGACGCCGAGGAAGCTATGGACAGGTGGGGTCGTCAACAAAAAAAAAATAATAACTAGAAATTTATGAACACTTTTTCAAATACTACTTGAATGAACAACAGCTGGCGAAAATAGGCAAATCGAAATGGCAAATGAAACAGCCAATCAGATTCTTTCATTCCAATCACGTGTTAACCCCACCCAACCAATATGTTCAGTAACATTCAAGTTATCAGATCTATAATTAATGTTCTTGTGCTCAGATTGGACGGGTACAGTTTGGATGGTAGGGACATTAGAGTGTCCCGAGCAATGCACCCCCGCCCAGTAAACCGTTACAACGACAGAGGCAATGGTGGTGGCCGCAGTTATGGACGAAGGTGAGATAATATAGTCAACCCAGCAGTAAAATTAGTTGTCAGCCGAGCAGTAGATTGGTTGTCAAGACCTTTAGAGATGTCTACTTCTCAGAGGCGAGAAAAGCTGGGCTCTAAATTTCATGGTTTTAGCGCATTTATATTGCAATTTGGAGCTTTTAGCAGACAGATTTTCACTGCTGATTTCTCGATCCTGTCGGATCATTTACGTTCCTGCTCGTTTTTTTTGGTTCACCGACCGCGACCACACAGTTTCTCATCGCTTTAAGGTATGGTCAATATTGAATTTTTATCAACCCATCATCCCTTTAGGGGGAGAAGATCCAGGTCCCGCTCACGATCCCGTTCTCGATCCCCTCGACGCAGCAGCAGGAGGTCCCGATCACGCAGCAAGTCACGTGACAACAAACGCAGGTCCAGGTCTCGCTCCAGATCTAGGGATGGTCCCTCCAGGTCCTCCAAGCACTCCAGGTATGCTGTAATACGTGTTACCTAGATTCAGGGGCTGAATGTGCTTTACTTGTCAATAATTTGGTTAAAATAAGTTTAAACAACAAGTTTAAACAATAAGTTTAAACAACAAGTCGATTGTTGTCTCAGTTACTGTAACTAAATGTAGCGCAGGCTGTTGAATTGAATGCACTTTTAAATTGACTCTGGTCTTTCCTCAGGTCTAGGTCCAGATCCAAGTCCAGATCCAAGTCAAGATCTCGATCTCGTTCCCGTAAAGATTCCCGCTCCAAGTCTAGATCCAAGTCCAAGTCCAAGGACCGATCTAAGTCCAAGTCCCGATCCAAGTCCAGGTCCAAGTCCAAATCCCGCTCAAAGTCGAGGTCCAAGTCAAAGTCAAAGTCTAGATCCAAATCTAGATCAAAGTCCAGATCGAGGTCAAATTAAAAGGTAATAAGCTCGATTATACAAAATCTAGTATTTTCAAATCTGTTTGAATGAGCAATTTTTAAAGATTGATGGAGTTTGATTGATAAACTGATTAATTTAAAAAATATATCTCAGGAATGCAGCGATTCTAGACCGATCTGATACAAGGGGTCACAATCAGCTCAAGTCTTCAGTACGTCCCGCTCAAATTATCATATCTGTGTGGCCCGTTTAATATAATTTAAATAATATTTACATTCCAGCTTTTTAGATCTTATTTCTTGTAGAGTGTACTCGTTAACAAAATAAACCCTTTTTTCTGATATCTAACGAAGTGCAATTTTAATAGATATGATATTTATTCTATGAAAAATGTATTGGCTACTTTGGCTTCGAATGTTAACAGTTGAAACTTTTAGTTATAATATGACTCTGCGCACCTTGGGACCAATTTCAAGTCGCACTACCAAGGCAGTTAGCAGTATTTATAGTAGCCACTGCACGAATTGCTGTGTATGTTTCACTTTCAAAACTTTTAATCATAATGTCCCTGTAATGCCATGATTATTTTACAATACCATCCCTTGTGTGTTATTCTATGCGTACCTCCTCCTCTCATGTTTACATTTGTTATATACAGGTGCCGGTCGCGGTCGCGGCAGTGCAGTTTTGGCGGCATGCTGATTTCCAGTCCAGTCGCGGCGGCATTTCCAGTCCAGTTTCGGCGGCGGTTTGCTGTATTCCAGTCCAGTTTTTCGTGCTAAGGGAACCAGTGACGCGGTTAGCGGCGAAGCAGTCCGGCCAGTTTCCAGTGATCCAGTCGTTTGCCAGTTTCCAGTGATCCAGTCGTTTGCCAGTTTCCAGTGAAACAGTCTGTCCAGTTTCCAGTGATCCAGTATTGTCCCGTTTCCAGTGATCCAGTCATCATGATATTGGAATCTGGACTCAACCAGTTGAGTCCAGTTTCCAGTGTTCAGTGTTCGTTGATGCGGGTTCCAGTCGCTGACCAGTTTTCTGGTCGTCCAGTATAGTCCAGTCTCCACTCCAGTGATCCAGTCGTGTTACAACTTACAGTTTCCGGTGGTCCAGTCCTTTTCCAGTTTCCAGTGATCCAGTTTCTCGCGATCCTATCCAGATGCCTTAGAAATACCTTTAGCAGGCCAGGTTCGGGGCTTTCTTTTTGGAATCTTCATTGGTGCACGGTTTCAAATCTCGCCTGCATATATGATAGCCGCATTATAGAGTCTATATAGAGGCTGTATAGTGGCCGTACGATCACGGAGCTGGCGGCCCTTTATCAGACTTACTTAATCGTCCATTATTTTCGGGATACGGATGCTGGCACAAATTTTTGAAGTCAGAAGCTTGAATCCAATCCCCACCTTGTTGGTGTTGAAAGAAATGGAATTAAGATCTACACAGTACCAACTCTACAATTTTTGATAAGGTTGGCCCAATTGGATCAGTTCTGTAGTTTGAGCCCGCTAGAATGTATATATTGGTACCACCAAGGCTATTGAAAACAGGGAATTTGACAATGGTATATTATTTGAAGCACTGTTTTAGTTCGCCGGAGCCATAAATTAGTCGTTTAATAGCACCATAACAAAGGACATGTCTTCGTTAGAGTGCATACAGCTGATAAAAGTATGGGTATCAGCATTGCCAAAGTCCGCCTTCAGTCCACTAATAGTCACCCTCCAAAAACTGCTCCAACTCCACCACATCTAACTAAACATCTTCCACATAAAAGCTAGTAGTATGTCTCGACGATACAGCCGGAGTCCTCCACGACGTGAGCGTGACTTTAGTCCGCGCAGAGAAGGCGGCAGGGAGAGCAGAGAGGGCGGCAGGGAGAGCAGAGAAGACCGAGAAAAGAGGGGACCTCCTGATATTGCTGAAATGGTGAGTGTTACATTGTGTACATTGTGGTACATTGTGAGTGTTACATTGTGTTAAGTTTATTAATGATTTAGGAAAAGTTGTTATTTAGACTAAAGCTAAACGCATGAACTAACAGTAAGTAAAACTTACAGAGTTTTTAAAGTTGATGTTTAGTGGATCCAGTCCTCAAGGGAATCAGTTTAAGTTGGGAATTAGTTTAACAACTTTTATTGTATTCCCTGTGTATAAGTACTTTATATCTAGTAGTAAGATATTTGTCATTTGAACATGTATAGTGTAGATTGTATAGTATACACTACTGTATACACTACAACACTACAACATTCCATATAACCGTCTCTTATTACATATTTACGTATGATTTAGTCGGTATTGTTTTAACGCATCTTAGTAACATGTCGAGTCCCATATCTTAGCACCCTGCCTAATTGTCCGGTACACGGGGTGGTCATTCTTATTATATTTATGTACATTATTACTCTGGGCTGTATACTTCCATTTCGATCTTAGACTTATGTGGCGAGTTTGCTCCCTAAACCAAAACCAAACCAAAACCAAAAACATGTCGATTATATGTCGACTATATGTCAGACCGCTCATACTTACTCAAACCCCAGGTCAGTTTGAAAGTGGACAATTTGACCTACAGGACCAGGATAGAGCACCTGGAGCCCCTCTTCTCCAAGTACGGCAAAGTGGGGGATATCTACATTCCACGAAACTATCGAACTCAAGAGAGCAGAGGATTCGCTTTTGTCAGGTTCGTGCACTTTCTCTGGACTCTTTTAAGTTTAGGAAGTTTTTAATAAGAAAATTTCTTTTGGTAAATAGGGATAAGATAGCATGATAATCTGGGGTTAAATGGCAACAAAATGGCAGATTTTACGATCGGAGAGATGCAGAGGATGCAATGGAGCGTCTAGACGGCAAACAATTGGACGGTAGGGAAATCAGAGTTAGCAAGGCGATGCACGGTCGTCCTGATGGGGCTGCTGGTCCACCACGTGGCGGCGGCGGTGGTGGTAGACGTGACAGGTACGTGACTGTGACTGTGACTGTGACTGTGACTGTGACTGTGACTGTGACTGTGACTGTGACTGTGACTGTGACTGTGACTGTGACTGTGACTGTGACTGTGACTGTGACTGTGACTGTGACTGTGACTGTGACTCTTGAATCTGACTCTTGAATCTGACTCTTGAATCTTACTCTTGAATCTGACTGTTAACCTATCACAGCGTTAACGTGTTCTTTGTTCTAGTCACTTTTGACATATCCCAAATCCCAGGTCTAGATCCAGATCCAGATCACCACGGCGACGCAGCAAGTCCAGATCACGATCCAGAGGTCGAGACTACGACCGGTCTCGTTCACGATCACCTAGATAAAAATGTTAGAGATATAAACACGTGACCTCACTGTATTATGAAGTGACGCCATCACTTTAAACGAGATTTCCTCTGAAGACATTAGCTTAATAAACTATAAAGGATTAGCTTAATAAAGGAATCCACGATTTATTAGAAAATTTCATGGCTAGATCAGCTTCTTTGCCTATCTCACGGTTTTAACTACGGACGGATAACTATTTTGAACCGAAAGAATTGATAGTGGCTGAACACTAGATATTGTTGCCCTAATTCTAGTACTAATTTAAACGGTAGTGTGACACCTTGTATCATATTATCACTGATGACCGTTTGTAGATTTGCGGCTGTGTACGACTAATCAATCTTAACGAATTTCATGGACCTTTACTTTTCTTTCAGATTTGCTGTTCATTTATATTGACATAACTGTATGATATGTATGGTTTCAGTACGATTTACATCTATCATTTTATGAACTAAAACCTTTTCTGATTCGGTGATGTGGCTACTTAAGACCAAACTTTTCGATCGTTTGCCCCAAATTAAGGGGCCTATACGGAAGCATCTTCAGATACTAGCCAAAATTGTTTCTAAGACGTAAAGAAAGCAACCTTCTTTTTGCGCGCACAGCGCACTTTTTAGATCTTTTCGTCCGAGATTTTACAATCCATTGTTAACCGCTTTTTGATAATGCTGTAGGACAATGAAAGTGGTGAACCCGTTGACGTACAAGAGACCAAAAGCTCACGATGCAGCTAAGATACTCTACACCAACCAAACCAGATCAAAGAGGATTTTCAACTGTGTGGCGGCCATTGGTGGTTTCGTGGGCGTAACTTGTATCCTTTACAATGCAACTTCAAATTCAGCAAATTTATTTGTCTTAGAATGTCTTGTGTGAACTAAATTATTCATACTTGTTTAAAATATTTCCACTGATTAAGCTAAAAATCCTTCAGTATATAAAATATAAATGCTTGTGAAAATTCCTGAACAAAAATCACAGACTGGGTGTCGACTTTCAGACAGAAGAAACAGCTACGAAACTTAGCAGAGCTCGAGCAAGAGTACGGTTATTTAGAAGAACCAACTCCCCCAGGCGCTGCTGTGAGTTGAGCTCTGCTGACTGCATCGTTCAAGTGACCCATCCCTTGATCCAACGTGAAGAAATCAGGAATCGTTAACGACAGTTATGCTTAACTTATTGAGGTGAAATGATGGAAAACGTTCAGAACTAGCTGATTGTGCAGTGTTGAAAACAATTAATTTATTAAAGTTGAAGCTCGTTTTAGGGCTTTACTTTGTAGCATCTGGATCTTCTCATTATGATATTACATTAAAGCTGTAATATATCTTGTTGTGTTGTCGACAAGTCTATACCGACCCTCTGCAATCAGATATGTCTCAATTTATGAATGTTTGGTAGAACCAGAAGATGTTTACTCAAATTATTACATAATTATATTGGCTATTAAAAAGCAAGGTTCACTCGACTCAGCTTGTTGGTTTGTCATGTTGAGAAGACTAGATTGAGTTGATCTATAATTGTGTTCCTAAATAGTTTTGTAATTAGTGGTGACGATTTGTTTGTAAATGAAGAATCTTAATTGTCCATTTTCTGGAATATATGAAGACAAAATTAAGGCAACAATGTCCCATTTAGTAACCAGTGATCGGCTTCGTGAATAAGACACGTAATTTTTGTTTATTCATAGGACAATGAAATTCGTGGATCCGTTGACTTATTTTAAGACTCTGCAGCCACACAATCAAGCAAGGGTGGCAATAACCGTCTTGGCGGGCCTGACTTTGATAGCTCTCAACGTCAATTCAACACCGTTACAACGACAGAAGACTCAGCTACGAAAGTTAGCAGACTCCAAAACAGATGAGCCAGCTCTTTCGAATAGCCCTCAGTCGTGATGTGACTGTAAAGTGTAAAGTGACCCAATTCTCTTCTGTAAAAGAAATGAGAAAATTCCTTGTTCCTACAAAGAAAGTTGCTGATGGTCTGAATCATCTTTTACCAGTACACAGATGTTGATTCTGGTGGGGAGGTGAAGCATATTTTTCGACGCGTAACAGTAATTAATCAGTCAGCATCCACTATTGACCAATCAAGACCACCCCGGCCCAGAATCACTGTCACATGTCAAAATAATATGCCTAGCCCTAACTAGAATCCACATATATTCAGAATCTGAGACGAATGATACTGATACTGATAGATAAACCAGAAAACAAGAAGCAGTCTGATTGCTGGCTCTGTTTGAATCAATTAATTTATTGATTGATAACAAACCATGATTTGCTTACGAAGGTAATAAAAAAAACTTATTTGTTCCCGGAATATTATGTTTGTTATGAATTGTTGAAACAACATTTGTAATGAAAACATTCTATTTCAATTTGTCTGAAGAATACAAGAATGTGATTATAACCATAAATTGCAGATAGGAGCCATCTACTTAATAGTCCGTCAAATAGGGAGGGGGGAGGGGTGGTTTTGTAATTTCGCACAGTACAGGGGGAGGGGGTGGTTTCTGAAAATCTGGAAATTTTGGCAGAATTAACGAAAAAGTCCCATTTATTTCAACTCTTTGACACTAATTACTTTGTAAGTATAGATCCCTGTATTTTGAACGAAAAGTCGATTCCCAGAGCAGATCATGATAGCCGAGTTGTATTCCGATTCGTACTATAAGTCTAAATTAGGGGGGGGGGGGGGGGGGGGGGGGGGGGGGGTGGTTTTGATTAAATTCTCGCAACGACAGATCGGCGAGATGCACGCTACTGTGCCTCGCCGAGCTGCGATGAATTGACACCGTCAATTAACCGTTAACCTGAACAGGAAGCTTCTTTGTATCATGCACGTGGTGACCCCCACTGTCGCTTCACTATATTATTATATAGTAGAGTTCACTACTGTAGAGTTTCGACGATTTGTATCAAATACTAGACTGTCGACCAAGTGCCAAGACCGTCGACAAGTCCAACTCTGCGCGCGTTTTGGTATGTTATAAACCTTAAACCTATAACATTGTCCAGGAAGCTCGAAAAGTTGAAAGGGCGCCGCGCACAGCGGCCGGACTGGCGTGCCAGATTGCAAATAATAATTTACAATTTAGCACGCTTGTTTATTTCAATGAAATTGATATTGCATATAAGTATAACATATAACTTAAAATTTAACTTCTCACAAAACTGGCTCTTACTAATTCGCTCGCCCAAAAATTTCACGTGCCCATAACTCTCCAGGGAAGCATTTTTACCCTACGTCATGGGGGTGATTCGGAATCAGCGTTCAAAAATACACCGATTCATACCGAAAGGGCCTTTTCACAAGAATTTTATTAAAATTTGGGCGAGCGATTTAGTAGAAGCGTTCAATGTTACGCGCGTTTGGTAACTTAACCTGTCGTTATGCGCGCACGGCGCAGGTTTAGCTGTATAGCTAGCTTAGAATGAATTGTTGTACTGGGTGCTGAAATGTACTTTTACCTGAAAATAAACTAATGCGCGTTCCAAAATATCGAGCTACGTTTTCAACCCTACGACCGTTAACTAGACCAAGCAAATTGTAACACGTGACAACAAGAAATGCCCTGCATCACTGCATGCATAATGTAACAAGCAACGCATCGCATCCTGTGGAATCAAGCAACACACCAACTTGTCATGTAGAGTTAACACGTGATAACAGAGGTGCAAACTGATCAACTATCGATCTTACAGTTTGTCAATGACCATTGATTAAAAGTTTCGGCTGTTATTACTTGACGAATGAAATGTTTAAAAATAATTATAAATTGGCTGTCGAGTTTCTTAAGAGTGTGAATTAGTTGAGGATGCAACATGTTTGCTGACGTAATCACGTGATCATAGGTTTTAACTTTCATTGAACCACAATGTTACGACTGTTTTGTAATGCAACAATAAAAAACAACATGTCAATTGTTACATTAAAAACTTTTAAATTAATAAGCATGACTGAGACCGCATACACATTACACTTTTTGTAATGTAATCACTTTCACAGAATGCAGGCATTTTGTCTTTTGACGAAGTTAAATCTGCTTGTTTTCAATAAATTAATAAACGTTGTAAGAATATAAAACATTGTATAATACATCACTTGATACTTTGAACATATATAAAAGCAAACAGTATAAAACGTGGACTAAGCCTTTGTTACAGGCTACAGCAGTTGCTATGGCAACCCTTATTTAATTATCTAGAAAATGTTCTTTGCACAGTGCAGATATCAACAGAGCAGTTTGGAGATCTCTACTGAAATTGTATTAAAGTTTTACAAATTAATTTAAGTACTGTGGACCATTTTCAGAACACCACAAGAAAGCCAGACAAATTTAAAGTGATCCTAAATATTCCCAAAAACTCTTGTCATGCGAAAATCATCATTGTCTGAAAATGTATTCTAATGCTAATCTTGTCCAGTACAATGGAAATTACAAAGGTCACTACAACTAAAACTTATTCACCGTGAGAAAAAATCCATCGTGCATTAAAACTCTGACTTTACAAAACACCATAAAACTTTAACATGACACCCGAATTCATGGTAACATAAGATGGATAATAAATTAAAACTCTTAAATATTTCATCAACTAATGAGTTCAATCATCAAAGAAAGAGTCAGCTGCAATTTTCGAATCGGCTTCAGCAGTTTTAACTTCCTTCGTCGAACTTTTGTCCCCATGAACTTCACCATTTGGTGTTACCTTTTCAACCTCCTCTTTAAAGGATGGTGCTTCTTCTGAAGGTGGTTTTGCTGCCTCTTTTGGCGATTTTTTGGCTTCTTTTGGTGGTGTTTCTTTTTCCGTAAGCGGTTTCTTGGCTTCTTTTGGCGGTGATACTTTTTCGACTGGCAGTTTTTTGGCTTCTTTTGGCGGCGATAATTTTTCAGCAGGCAGTTTTTCAGCTTCTTTTGGTGGCGATACTGTTTCAGCTGGCAGTTTTTCGGCTACTTTTGGCGGTGATACTTTTTCTGCTGGTTGTTTTTCAGCTTCTTTTGGCGGCGATACTTTTTCTGCTTTGGTAGATTTTGCATCTTCTTTTTGTGACAATTTTTCTACTGGCTGTTGAGCGGCATCCTTTTTAGGCGTTGAAGGTACATCTTTTTGTTTTTCCGGTGTCTTTTTGGGTGCCTTTGGTTCTACTGGAGGCTGGGCTTCTTTTGGTGGTGCGGCGGCTTTTTTTGGGGACGTTTTTTCTTTGGGAGCTGCTGCTTTCTTTTTTTCCTCTTTTTCTGTCGCTTTTACCAAAGTTTCTATTTCTTGCGTTGGAGGATCATCCTCTTTTGTTCCCTTATTTTCAGTTGCAGCTGGTTTCTTACCGTCTTCCTTAACACTATCCTTTTTGACCGCACCCTCCTTATTACCCGGCCGTTGTTTGGCTGTTTTGGGCCGTGTAGGCGCGGAGGAAGTAGGTGCGGGTATAATTTCACATTCCACCTTGGGCGGCTCTGCTGTTATCGGGCGACAAAACTCTTCATCTGGCTGAAGAGGTTTTGGTTCAATATATCTGTCATACGATTTATTCTAAAAATTAACATTAAAAACATTATTTCCACAAAAATATGACAGTTCAGTGGGTGTGATTGTTGGTTTATCCGAAAAATTAAGCGAAAAAAACCAATAAAGTTTCAGTACCTTGTCACTTAAATCAATAGTCTCTCTACTCTCGATGTGGAAATCAACTCCTTCCCTCTCTATGCAACCGATATCGGAACATTTATCATCCACCTCTTCGAACGTTATATCTACATCTGCGTTACTATTAATCTGAAAACAGAACAGATTGGTGTTAAATGATGTGACTTGTTATCTTTTTTTCTAGCTGGTCAGCTGGAGCAAATCTTTTAACAAGGTACTTCTGTATTAAGTCACTCTTAGAATAGTATGTGATTTGTAGAAATTGAGCAACTCAAAGACGTTAGATCATCAAGTTTATGTAACTTCACCGTCTATTAGCACGTTTGTTGAAAGGTCGCTGGTCGGTTGAAATGATTGTTGAAAGATCTCGCTCTATTCTTGATACTAATTATGTTTCACCTCTAAGGCGTGCATGTTTACCATTGATTAACCATTATATAGTTTTAATACGTTCAACACTACTGTATAAAGATAATTTGAGGAAACGATGTAACAGAGTCGATATATTTTAATGTTGCCATGGGGTGGCATGTCCCCATACATCGTGGTCCGGTAGTTTCATTGCGTCTGTATATATGATGGGAGGGAGAATAGATAAATATAGATCTTTTATAGATCAAACATATTACGATCTTTCAATCTTCAGTCATCCTTCCATAAACTTTTCAATCAACCTTTCAATCGACCGGTGAAGACAAACTTACCACACATACCACACATACCACAAATACCACGAATACCACAAATACCACAAATAACACAAATACCACAAATACCACAAATACCACAAATAACACAAATAACACAAATACCACAAATACCACAAATACCACAAATACCACAAATACCACATCGAACCACAAATACTTAGAACACAAATAACACAAATACCACAAATACCACAAATACCACAAATACCACAAATACCACAAATACCACATCGAACCACAAATACTTAGATAGCACGCTGTTCATTGAACACTCGACAAAATGCATGCAACAAAAAATAAAGTAAAAAACAATGGAAACCTCCTCAACTTCAACAGTGATAACGTCCCCTTTAAACTTAAGTTTCTTCTTTCCCTTTTTCAGCGCCTTTTTCTTCACTTTATCCAGGTCTTCTTTCTGAGAAACCGTTCAGTAAAACATAAACCGTTCAGTAAAACATAAAACACATGTCTGGACTGATTACGCCTAATATGGTAATAATATGTGTGGTTTCAGTCTCGCTCTAAACGACACTAATTGTGCAATAAAGACAATGATATGTGGCTTGAAATGTGGCAAGTTCGGAGATTGTGAAGCTCTCAAGATTTATCTGTTGTTATAAAGCGCTGTGTAAGCTTTATGTCGGGCAGGGCCACCAGAGAAAAGTACATGATACAAGATAGGTTAAAATATTGTTAAACTAGTGAATATCTCTGGGGGTGTTTAATTTAACCACATCTTGAGAATTTGTTGGTTAAAAGTACATACTTAGTTCAAGCTGTTATGCATGTGATATGATTAAACAACTAAATGTCTTGTCTGGAAAACTTAAAAATCCTATTTTTGATTCCACAATTAAGATTTTAACAAAATTTTGCTCAGTTTAGACGTTCTCGAAACCTCTTAGAAAACCATCTCAATAGAAACCGAATGTCAATTGTGCATGCGATGTTCTTAAACAACTATGTATCTTGGTCTGAAAAATTTAAAAAATGTATTTTCGGTCCCACAATTGATTATTCCAAAGAAACTTGTTCAGCTTAGAAAATTTTAAAACATTCTCCAAACCTCTGAGAAAACCATCTTGTTTTTGATGCATTTTTCTTCCCAGCTTAAGTCCTGAAGTTTCCGTAAAAGTTGATCTTCGCACTGGAACCTGGGATGTGGTGAACAAGATTAATTAATTAATTAATTATCTCTGAAATGTGGTGAACACGATTAGAAATTGTTACGAAGTCTGGATCCAAATCTACCTTACACTGGGATCAGATGTTTGACTGTTTACTAGGTACCATCTAAAATTCTGAATAAATATTTTGCTATTATACGATGGTATAACGAGTGAAACGACCGTATGGTACTATTCGTTACCTAATATCTCCGAATTTGATATTCGTTCAATAATCAAACGAACTAGTTTGACGAGTGAGTTTAATTATTGTCCTAATCACATTATAAGGGAGTGATATTGTTTAATTGATGTTATTTAATAATATATAAATTGATTATACACCTGCCTGAAAAAAACTGAAGGCACTAGTCTTGCTAGTGTTATTAATAATAGTTATATTATATGAGACAAGAGAAACGCCATCTTAGGACGCGAGGAGAGTTAGGACTAACATCTCGTGCCAGTACTTATATTATTATTAATCAATTATCTCGCTTTCTGATCTGTATATTTACACAAGGTCTTTATGCAGTAAAATTACCCTTACCAGGTGCTCATTCGATTCACAAGGACGAAAGTATAAAAAATTGCATTTAATTTGCACTTAACGTTGCGATCCAACTGTTCGTGCATTACTCTTACAGCTTGCCGGATGTTTTATTATAATACACGTACAGATTATACATCTACAGGGTGAGTTGAAAATAGTGTTTTTCAACTCACCCTGTATATAATATGTAGTAACAAGATAAGCAGTCGACTCTTATCTGACTATCGGAACATCTGACGTTTAAGATACGAGCTGTTTACTTCGCTTCAAAGTCAAAATACTAAAATAAACGTGACAGTTCCTTGACAGTTCCTTGACTATTCACTAATGAGATGTTACCCAGCGCCCAGATGTGCCTACGCAGATGTTACGGATTCATTCTATACAAATAATGACAAATGCCTCGCGGTTCAATGTCACGCGTTTAAACACCACTCCAATGTCACTTTAGTAATGTCACTTACGTATTAAATGACCAATAATTCACATACACAAAGTGCCACACCTAAATCCTTTACTTTTACGGTCAATAATTAGTTGTTATTAAGCTGCTAGGGAAACGTCGCAATACAGCGCTTTTACTGAAAAGAATGTCAACTTCTAGTTGATGTTTCGGGCTGCTGAGAAGTAACACTGTTTAAATTTACTCACCGCTTATTGGATCATTTTAAAATTTAAGGGGTCGTTTTACGTATTGATTACACGTTCGTCGTGGCGTATAACTGCAATCTGCATTCTGCATCTACCAGTTTTTTACATAAGGTGCATTTTTTGTGGCTTAGCAATCAACTCACCAAATAACTCTGGCAAACTGCAGTCAATGTAACACTGTAGTTAGACACATTTTCCCCCTATATTTTCAGCTTCTGATTCAACGGCTCACATTATCAGATGAAGAAGTACTGATTGCCTTGTTCTATCGTGATCCCATTGCACATCATAAATGTTGCTGCACACTACCCGCTCACATAAGCCTTTAATTGGGATAACTGGAGTCCTACCGGAAATGCATCACCAAGACAACACCATTTTCTAACCGTATATCTACCGTGCATCACTATTAATTGTATTTATAATCTCCGGGCTCTCGGTCTTATCTTGAATCCAGTAATTTCAACTTTAAGTCATGATTTGTGTTCATTTGCAGTTTTTTGACATGGTCCAATTCCATACTATTTACTAAACAAATTCAATTATTGGCTCGAGTATTGGACAACCCAGTTAACATGGTTGTTAAAAAATGTTACTGTGGGCTATGTAGTATATAATAGCTGATAAAAGAAACACCCCCGTCCCCCACTCTTAGACTCGAAGAGTCGAAGAGGAACAGGGCTCTTTGGCCAACATAAAGTATACTTCTTCTGTAACACCCCCAAGGAATATAATCGGTATATACTTTTATAATATGATGCTAATATTGCCAACTTGTCATATTTCCTGCTGAGATCCTTCGGTAGCCTATTGTTCCTTAGCCCTGGCGCTGTCTTTGGCAATGATAAGTTAGCTTCTGAGTTTACTTCGATGATGGTCGAATGATCCCCCGACCGGAAAATAGAGCCAGTTCATTTTCCATGGCCACCTTCAATCGAGAAAGGACTAACGGCATGGAATAAGATAGAGAGCTAATGAGCTGATGAGTGATGAGCAGTTTAGTTATTTGACCAGACGTGAAGTTTCTCGAATGTTCGGTACTTAGCTCACTTACTTCGACGAACAGATCATATGTGGTACCTTCTATTGTGTCTTCACTAGCTGTCTAGTACAGTTCCTTGTTTACCAGTTGAAGAAATAGTTTTAGGGTTTGTAGGGAGTTGAAGAACTCTGTTGATTCGTATTTAATTCGGAATCTGGCTTATTACTGTCGAGATAAAATTTGCGCCTGAATATTTAAAATTTAAAAAATCGTTTACATTTTTGATGAGTAAAAATCGGTTTTACAAACATTAATATTTACAAATGCCATTCATATGTCAAATTTCTAGTGGAGTGAAAAAGTTGTAACAATTCTTATTTGTTAGTTCAGTAGAACATGGTAACAGTAGATCTCATGTTCTGGTTGGTTCTTTTCGGTTTCTTTACACCTTCTCATAGCCTGTGTAAGTACAGAAGTGTGCGATTTCATTTAAGTCTTTAGCATTATTACAGAATTAAGCATCAACAAATTTTCTCCTCAAAACTTACAGTTACAGATCACAGATTGATTGCATCTTTACTTTGCTGATGCTTGAGTTTTTTCCAGAGCTTTTTCAACCAAGAAACTCTCAATTCAACAACTTCACATCTTACAAATCCTTTCAGACTTCGAAGCTGACGAGAACCATATTGTAACGCTCCACTGCAGTTACACTAACTATCTTATCATCACCGCGGCTAAATACTACGCTCCATACAACGGTTTATGTACAGTCCAGGCAAACGCTCCATCTGCCACCTCCAACCATTGCAACAATAGAGTCAGCTGTACGATCAACACAACACCCGGTTCATTCTACGGTGACCCCTGCTGGGGTTTCTTCAAAAAGTTAGAGGTAAGCACCTTTTTAACGCTGTGTGGAATTCTACAGTAAGATAGTTTAAGCCCTCGGAAAATTCAAGACTATACTGCGGAGTAAGTGGTAGTTTTGGAATAACCGAGCACCAAATGACACGTGACAACCCAACAGATACACTATGAATGTCACGTCTGTGCAGGAGGCCAGTTCTTAGCTGTTGGGTCAGGGTGTGGGTGGTGTGGAGACAGTAGCTACAGTCCTGGGGGAGTACAAACTGGCTGCACAAACTGCCCTGCTGGCAAAACTGTTCCAGCTGGTCAGGGATCCTCCTTGAGTGATTGCGAATGGAGTGAGTACTGTCAGCTGTTTAGGACATTTTGCTGTTGAAGGGACTCATGTTCATGTCTGACTATTCGAGACTTCTCTAGAATGTTTGCACTTCACAGGTTTCATGAGGATATAACTTTATTCGAAATTAACTTATTTACACATGACTATTCCCATTTCTCCCTATTTCACAGATCCCTGCAGTGGTGGCCAATATCTGGACCAATCTACAGGCTGTGAGAGTTGTGAAGTTGGGACATACAGTCCTGGAGGAACAGTTTCCTCCTGTGTTAGCTGTCCTGATGGTAAATCTGTTGCAGCAGGACAAGGGAGCTCGGAGACTGACTGTATCTGGAGTAAGTGTAAAAAATCATAGATCAATTCGGACTTCGGAGATGGATGTTTTCACTTTTGCTAAAAATCAAGGAATACTACGAGTATGATCAGTGTGGATGATTTACAAGGTTTATGATAAAGTGGCTTCTAAATTACCAGTATATATTATATACAGTTGATCGTGCTGTTTTATAGTAAAAGAGAAGGCTCCTCTATTATGGAAGCATATTATGGAAGCATAACTTTCCCTCCTCAGTTCCCTGTGAAGGTGGCAAGTACCTTGACCAAGTGAATGGATGTTTACCATGCGGAGAAGGAGCATACAGCCCTGGAGGAACTGTTCTATTGTGTTCTAATTGTCCTTCTAAAAAAACAGTGCCACTTGGTGATGGCAGTTCAGAAAGTGATTGCACTTGGAGTAAGTCAGCATATTTAAGCATATTTCACCTTTCTAGTCTATACAAAAATTTAAAATACAAAAAAGTAAACACATTTCTATTTATAAACCATTTTAACTTTAACCATTTCAGTTCCCTGTGATGGAGGACACTACCTGAACCAGGAAACAGGATGTCAGGAATGTTCTGAGAACCATTACTCACCCGGAGGAAAGGCTACATCCTGCAGTGCTTGTCCAGAGGGACGCGGGGCGGTCAAAGGGACTGCAGCTAGCGCGGAGGAGTGTGATAAACCACTGTTAGGTAAGTATAGACACGGTGCAATGGTCACCATCACATTCCTCCTTGGCATGCCCTCCCTCCCCTCCTCCTCTTAGCATTCATTAGATTAAGATGGAGAGAGGGGATATAAGGAAAGTTTTGCGATCCCACTACATTCCACCACAATTCAGGGAGCATGAAGGATTGTCCGAATAAGGTGTAATGATATGATTTATCCTTACCAAAGATATCAACTTTATACAGATTATACAGATATCTCAGAAAGTATCAGACCAGCTCATTATCTCTAAAACGACCCTTCTTTTTAAACATTTTACGACCCTAAACTTATGCCCTTCAATTTTGTAACGTAATCGTTTTGTTTATAAATCTCAAGAATCTTACCCTGATTTCTCGTCTTTGAGTTTCTTGTATCGTTTGCCAGCAAGATGCCTCATCTTCATGTACTCATCTTGTCCTAACGCTTTGCAGGATGGTTTTGGCTGGATTGATTTCTTGTCTAGGGTTGAGGTAATTTGTTTCCTGAACAACAAGACCTTTGTTATCATTTATCAGTATAATAGTATCTTAATTTAAGATCTAGGTTGTAAACAATATCCTAAATCATGTTGATGCATCAGTGATAATCACAGCTATAAAACGGTTATAATGGGAACATTTTTGCTTCATACTATTATACACTGTATATACACTGTATATCTACTGTATATAAACACTATATATACACTGTATATATAATACTATTATACCTAACACTACCGACTAGATGTTATCCTATTTAAGTATTTATCTACATTACATATTGCTTAGTTTTATAAAGTTTTCACCTGTTTCCTGAAGCTGAGGCTGATCTAGGTCGTAATTTTCCTTTAGTCCTTTGACTACTTGGTGGATGAGGTGTTTCAAGAGATCGTACCTGAACATCAAATGTTTAAATCGTTTAAAAATATAAAAAAACACTTTAAAAATGTGAAGTCACTGAATCTGACAAGAGAGCTGGATCTAAGATGAATTTTATGTTATTCATGTTAATTAAAAGTGAAATAAAAGGAACGGACGCCTTACCCTAGCAGTTTTAGGACGTTTCGAATCTCCCACCGAGACAAGATTGGCATTTGAAGGTGTAGTCTCCGGACGATGTGGACCTCTCAGCAACATGACCGGCGACTGATTTGCGAATCCTTTATTCTTTAGCCAAACCTTAAATTTCTGATCTGCCGCTTTTTGTTTTACCTCCATTTGTTTATCATATTCAACTTGCAATTTTCTTTCAGCTCGCTGTACCGCTCTTTCTACAGAGATTGTTAAACAATATCACGTTAAATCACGCTAAATCACGTTAAATCACGTTAAATTTTACAATGGATAGATGACTTCAATACAATCTCATCATTGATGGCTTGTCAAAATTTGAATTCCGATCAAATTTCTACAGACCAATGGAGCAAATGAACATTGAAAATTTACCTAATTTAACTTTTTGCCGCTGTGTCTTCATCTTATGAGCAAGCCAACTCTGGATATTGTAAGTTGAGTCCTCCCGATAGGGTGATGCAGCCCAGTATGATGCATATGGTGGATAATTGGGATTTTCTGCATTTTTCAGGCATTTTTCCTGCAAATGAAATATTTTTCAACAGAATTGAATTCATATTCTTGTGTGTAAATTATTTTTAATTAAAAATTTGTAAATAAAATTATTTTTTATTTGATTACTCAAATATTGATACCTGCATCAATAAGCTGATAAAATTGATTATCGGTTTTTGATTGAAACTTTAAGCAATAAATCTAATTGAAAGACTAATTAACAAACCGAGAAGGTGAAGGTAACTTTAGTTGGATGCCCAAAACAGTTAGGATCCCCGGACAACATCACTCATTCATCCAGCATGTGGTGCCGCAAGTCTTACATAGTGTGTTGCAATTCACTATAGTGTTCGGGAAATTTAAACACATTTTTCAAATGACGATGATGATGAAATCTTAAAATAACTGGCTTCAATGAGCTTTAAAAATGAGTTTTAAAAATGAGTGGATGACATTGGAAACAATCAAGAGTTTGTTTCTGCAGATGAGCAGAAAGGTTTTTGGATAATCTAAAATTGGTAAAGTCTGACTAATTTAGAGCAAGCGAAGCAATGCTAAGTTACCATTCTCAGTGGTGTAACTTAGGGCCCCGCAGACCCCGCTGTGCAGGGGGCGCCGTATAAGGGGGGGGGGGCGCAATTTTCCTGAATTTTAGGCCCTTTCACTGACAAAACGCCTTATTTGTGTATTTTCCTGTCCAATTTAGCGTTCGGTGGACGCGAAAAAATATTTGGGGTACCTTTTTTGCTTCAGGGGGGGCGCAAAAAGCTGTAGTGGGGGCAAGAAAAAAAGTACCCGACCTTTTTTTTTAATTTTTATGGACACAAAACATTTTAGGGGGGGGGGGGGGGGGGCACTTTTCCTCACTGAGCGGGGGGGGGGGGGGGGGGGGGGCGCCAACAGGCAAAGTTACGCCACTGACCATTCTTATGACGAAAGACTCAGAGAAGTACCTACTTTCAGTAAATCAAGTTTGGCACCTTATCAGCTATTATACACTTACCTTGGGGCTTGTCAACAAGTGTGAGACAGTCGGACGCACCCCAACGCCTACATTGTTTGTGTTCCTAATCAAAGCACCATTCTTCACCCAAAAGACTTCTCCACTCTGCATTCTTACAATAGATTTAAATTTTGCTGTTAGAACCCTCTAAAATTGTCTACTAGGAATGCACACATTAGCAATTCGATGTGATTTCATGGATTCTAATCAAAACCATGATTAATTCAATGAAACAAGAGGGGCACCATCTTAAGGGGGGGGGGGGGGGGCGCCTAATCGTCGTATTAATGTGGGACAATTTTGAAAAACTTAACTGAGGTACTAGCAAAACTGTGCGTTTTGTTCTAGAAACACACTTTTTTAGAGATTTTACCGGCATATCCTCTAAAATCACCTAATTTGTTCAATTTTAGGGAGGGGCGCCAAAAGGGGAAGGGGGGGGGGGGGGGGGTTGTCTGAGCGTTGATACCATCGAAGACGAGTCACATGTTCTTTACGTATGTGACTTGTACTCAAAACAGAGGTCGAAATTAGTAAAAAATCTTTCTCAAATGCCACTTATTGAAATGAGCACTGAAATCACCAACTCCAGCAATATCAATGATCTTAAAGACCATCTTATGGAAATTTTGTCTCCTTCCTCAACTGTTATTCCTCGAAATCACCAGAGCCTCCATATTCACTGCCACCGCTCACTCAATATTCAACCAAACACCCCACAGTATATTCAATTTCAAGAAAGGCGTTCCTATGCTGTCAATTGTGTGTGCACTTATTTCTTTCGCTGCCCCCGAAGTGCGATATAGTTTCACCGATGATATACGTCAACGTCATTCAAATACACGAAACTTAAACAATTTTACTATCAATTTGGTGAGAACCTTGCGAAATTATTCATAATTAAGGTTTAAGGCTAACCCTGGCCCTGATTTCAAACAAAGCTGAGAATGTTTTTAATAATTTATTTTACATATCCAATTCCGTGAACAATTATGACGGTTTCAAACAAAGCTGAGAATGTTTTTAATAATTTATTTACCTACCCAATTCTGTAAACAATTAGGACGATTCATGATGGTGGACCTATAATTTAATTTTAATCCCGTGTAATCCTGTGTTATCCTGTGTAATCCTGAGAAATACTATTTTGAATATTGTTTATCGTAGGGATCTTCCTCAGCACATGTGATATGTATTTAAATTTAATAAGTAGTTTTATGATTTTTGTGAAAATCAATATTGGTACCATACCGCTATTTCTGTAAATGCCATGATATCAACATCACAAAATCTAATCATGCTACACAGATTATTTTCAAAATTTAATTAATCATTATATACAAAGCTTTATTATGTATAACTTTATTTGAAAAAATTGGTATCAATAATTTAACTTCCTGATCTTCCATGCATTTAAACATTGACCGGAGCCAAAGTGCTGTGAAGTAATGGGGCGCTGGGTAAGTCCATACCTAAGTTATATTGTAGTATAATTCAGTTTACTGGTTCATGACTATAATTTCACAATTGTGATGCAATTTAAAAAAATGGGGAACCCCAAACCCATGTAGCTGAGACACCTCACAGCAAGTAGACCAAAGTGGTTCTTGCTTGTGAAAGGTGTATCAACTACCAATGAAACAAGAAATTCAATGAAACAAGGAATGCGTGTGACTGAAAGCTTTTGCACACACCGAAACGCTAGTTCAGTTAGGTTTTTAGAGACAAGGCTCATATTAGAAACTAGAAAAAATTTATTAGAAGACATTAGGGGTTCTGTTTATAGTTGTTACTATAGGTTGCCATGCAGTCTTGTTGTGACAAAAAGTCTACACTAAAACATACTTTAGTTTATATTGTGTAGTTCAAGGATATAAAATGCAGCTTCAAGGTGGATATTAGAGAGCTGGCGAAAGATTATGGCCTTTTTATCAATGGTTATAATAACCGCCGAAGCGGTGGGTTGGGAGTCCCCCATGGGTTGATATCGTACGTAAAATGTTACACAATATGAGAGAAAAGACAATTTTTTTGAGAAAAGACAATATAAAAGCTACAATAAATTATCTATAAAATTAACATAAACAAACTTAAGAGACCTCATAGCTCGTCTTCTGAGGTATATGATTAAAGGATACTTCATCCAGTCCAAGGTGCTGGGCTTTTTGTCTGGGCTTTGTAGCAGATCAAACCTGAATCGTGTTCTGATGTGATTTTTGACCTGGCTCTTAGCTTCTTTATTGTGGTCAGCTATTATCTCAGAAATAGATCTACGAACACAGTGCAGAGTGGTCCCATACGTTACCTCCAGATGTTGTAAAGACTAGTGGGACAAAGGACCCTTTCTCTGACTGACAACTGAAGTACTCTCTCTTCATATAGATCGTTTTTCTCTTTGCGCACGTTTTTCTCATGCGCACTGAAAATTTTATTTAGTGGCTTAAACGTATTTGAGTCGCAATTAGGATGAGTGACCATACCCTGATGTCAAAGAATGTTCTTTCGAATGGTGCATACAGTTGTTGTTTCACTAACATGCAGTTTCACTAACATGCAGTTGTTGTTTCACTAACATGCAGCTGCTACATTTAACGGGTGATACTCGTAAAACATATGTTCCATATATTGGACCGTCGACGAGTCCAACTCGGCGTGCGTCCTGGTAGGTTGTAAACCTACAATCGCAAGCACATAATTAAATTTGGCGCTCACAGGTCCTCGTGATCATGTGATCGCGCGCAGCATGAGGTTCTGTAAATGCGCAGGGCACCTTCAAGCTTAAATTATTCACCTTACTGAGGCAGTCAACCAACGCGCGGCTTTATTTTTATGATATGATATGGTTTGGTTGTTATTGATAAATACCAAAATTTAAATTTGTTTTCCTAAAAATTTGTTTTCCTTAGATGTAGGTAGTGCGCCATCGACAGTGAGCCGCGCGTGCCGACTGTAGGATGGTTTTTTAGCGCTAATTTCGGCCAGCACACTTTTCTTCAAACAAATAGATATTAAGTATTCTTCCCGACCTCCGATTGCAACAAAAATTGGTAAGCTTACTCATAGACTTACAAGGAAAGTGTCCGAAAAGTTTAAAGCATATCCAACCATCAGACATTATGTTACAGCTAAAAGCAGCGTATTTTGCCCCATTTTGATCACTATATCAACTTCGATATCCACCAAATTTGTCGGACAGTTGTGAAAGCCCTATTGGAAGGTCACCGCCAATTTTCAGAATGATCTCATTCAAGGAACTGAAGATATATCCAAATAATACGACAAAAATCAACGAATTTGGTCAAATTTGGTCAAATTACGCGACTTTTACAGCTAATTTTGCTCCAAAAGCCGCGCACCATCAAATATGGCACCTAAGCGAAACTCACTGATCTTTCCAAAAAGGTATGACAACTTTGGTATTGTGAAAATTCTCACAGTCTCTAGAAAACAGTGGTACAAAAATTTTTAAAATCCGAGCAAGTTTATTTTTATGGTGCACCCCCTATTAGATGAAGTCCTTACCTGGGGACCTCAGGCTATTATGTTTATAAACATAGAATAGAAATTCGGCGGAATGACAGGCTGATCAGCGCGGCCCAGTAAATGAAGTCCATGTATTGATGGCCCACGTACTGATATTTATATTGTAACAGTAGTGTAAGAGGATTTTTTCGAGCTCCGTTTACCCCTAAAATTGAGGCACATTTAGCTTTAGCACAGTTGACTAATCTGCCACATTTTAGCCAGAGGTTACAAGTTCGAATCCCAGTCGGAGTCGTTCTCCAATGTGATTATATTATTATGGTACACATTTTAACCTAGTTTAACCCATATTCAAGCAATCTAACCCTACAAAATACATTCATCACACAGCAGAAGTCGTTAAATGTATAGTGTACACGTTCACGTACAATTACATCAGTTGTCTATCGACATTATTAACATCTGGTTTGAGGCGACCTCTGTACAATGTACTGATAAAGTGATATAGTGACTTTCACTTATGTGAAATTTGTTGTTTTCTTGCTAGCTAGAAGTGTGCAGTTTAGGACAACACCTGGAACGTATCTTACACTACTACTTAGCGTTCAGTTGTGTGTTGCGTACAATTTTTTCTCTGGTTCACCTAATTATTATTCAATTTAAACTTAAGCTTACTGTTTTTAATTCTTTTGATTGTAGTCGGTCACGTAACACTGACTGTTTTATATATATTATGAAATCTAGTTTATAAAGAGTACTCTCAGAATGGTTACTCTACAGCCTCAAGAATAATACGTCATTGTATAACCATGAACCTTGTACAACACAGTTACAGTAACATCTGTGTAACGTATTTGACAGCAATTTAAACTCTTGACAAGACTGGTCTAGATATTTTCTGCTTTCTTAAATTATATCAGATCTCCATCAGGTAGTATACTAAATACTGAAGGAATACTTCTAATAATAATAATTCTAACAGTGCTAATAAGTTCTTTCACGGCAACCAGTATATTGTTTAGACATCCAAATAGGTTGTACTCATTCCATCATCTAGTAGTTTCCGTTTACAGTACACATAAGTAAGACCCTGCTTCCTCAGGATATAGGAGTACATTTTACTGTTCTTGTAAACAAATCCTTTGTTTTCCTGATCGCCAGTGGTCTTTGTACGAAGAACTTCAAGATAATCTTCTTTGGACAACGCAAACGCTTTGCTGATACCTTTTGAGCTGTATTTGTCTTTTGTTTGGTCTGTGTTGTCAAAACAGAAATACGTTTTGGCATTAAGACCAACGAACCCATCACCTTGCCATTCCAATTTGAACAACCCTGTAATTATGACGACGATAACTGTAATATTTGTCGATCCCAATAGTTTTACGTCATTCAAATCACTATAAAGATGAATTCAAAATGAGAAAAAACGTTTCTAAAAATAAAATAAAAAATTTTAAAAAATGATAGCTTAACGTAAAATGTTACTCGTTTGAGGTATGGTTTACCTGGGGTTCTTTTGTCGTAGGCCCTATTTTCAAGAGTGTCAGTTCTAGGGAACCAAGTTTTCTTTGCTTTTATCCATTCTTCCCAAAGATCAGGTTTAATAACCTCATCCAACGTCTTCGCACTTAGAGCAAGGTATAAACTATCTGAAAGGTTATAATTTTCATCAATATTCGTATTCTAAAATAACACATAAAAATGCTTACAATCTACTATTGTAACACTGTCTTAAAGTTCATTATATTTGGATAGCTATTTTACCCACCAGTGTCCATTTCGAGAAGGCAAAAGTTTTTCCTTTCTATAAAGCGATCAACCACGTCGAAGTAGAATTCCAACATCTTAAGTTTTGCCTGCTGGTATACAAAATATCCTAATTGCAGAGGAAGATCATACTTAACAGATTTCTTGAGTCTCGTAACCTGCGACATAAAAAAGACTCGATAAATTGAATCTGAGATTGTTAAGTTTTTTACTCTGTCCGATTATAAACAGACCACTTTTAACTTTTTAATTTTAATTATCACGGTAATTGTTTAGGTGTTTAATCTACAAACATACCTCGAAAGTTTCATCGCTGAATTCATCTAAACTGTGGAAAAACGGATCATTAACCATTTTGCTTGCTCTTTCTAGGTCACAAAATGTAACGTTTGTGAACTTCGCCTTATTCATTATCGAATGACCGTAAAACCGAATTACCTGAGAACGATTGCTGGTGACTGGATGATGGTATAAGTAGGAGTTGAAACATATGAATCCAAACATATTAGTATTGGACAGTAAATATCAAAAAATATGTTGTAACAATCCCAGAAAGTCACTTCTTACGAGGAATTTACAAGAGAATATTAAAGTACAGAAATTTTGTTAATTAATACTAAAGATTTAAGTGGATTTTTATGTAATTATACCTAGCAGTTTGGAAGTCTCAGCAATCATAGCATCTGATTTGCTGTCGATATCACCTAGAAATTAGTCAAGATATTATTTTTTATTACATATTAAATTGTATTTATTTTAATATTTATAATTAATTTTTATAATTCATTCATTCATTCATTCATTCATTCATTCATTCATTCATTTCATTCATTCATTCATCATTCATTCATTCAATTCATTCATTCATTCACTTCATTCATGCATGCATACATTGACTGAATTCCTTCACGTTATCAACGGGATATGGAAATCTTTCAAACCGACTCGATAAATCTTTCATTGGTTATTATAAGATTAAAAATAAATAAGTAAAATATTTGAGAACTATTTAGCACCATTGAACAACATTAGGCAAGATTATACATCAGTGAGTAACGTTGAGCAACATTCGACAACATTTGACAATATTTAACGATATTAGGTAACATTAGACAGCATTACTAACATTTGAGCAACATTTGAACAACACTCAGCAATATTCAGCAATGTTTAACAACATTTAAGCAACATTTAAGAATATTAGGAAACATTTAAGCAACATTTAAGCAACATTTAAACAAAATTTAATTTGAGCAACATTTAAGCAACATTTAAACAGCATTTAAGCAGCATTTAAGCAGCATTTAAGCAACATTTGAACAACATTTGAGCAACATTGAATAATATACGACCAAATGAACAATATTGAGAAACATCTAGCAACATCGAACAACATTAATCAACATTGGTCATTAAGCAACACTAAGCAACATTTGGGCAACATCGAATAATATACGACCAAATGAACAATATAATATTGAGAAACATCTAGCAACATCGAACAACATTAATCAACATTGGTCATTAAGCAACACTAAGCAACATTTGGGCATCATTTGAACAACACTCAGCAATATTCAGCAATGTTTAACAACATTTAGGCAACATTTAACAATATTAGGAAACATTTAAGCAACATTTAAGCAACAGTTAAACAACATTTAATTTGAGCAACATTTAAGCAACATTTAAGCAGCATTTAAGCAGCATTTAAGCAACATTTGAACAACATTTGAGCAACATTGAATAATATACGACCAAATGAACAATATTGAGAAACATCTAGCAACATCGAACAACATTAATCAATATCGGTCATTAAGCAACACTAAGCAACATTTGGGCAACATCGAATAATATACGACCAAATGAACAATATTGAGAAACATCTAGCAACATCGAACAACATTAATCAACATTGGTCATTAAGCAACACTAAGCAACATTTCGGCAACATTTGAACAACACTCAGCAATATTCAGCAATGTTTAACAACATTTAGGCAACATTTAACAATATTAGGAAACATTTAAGCAACAGTTAAACAACATTTAATTTGAGCAACATTTAAGCAACATTTAAGCAGCATTTAAGCAGCATTTTAGCAACATTTGAACAACATTTGAGCAACATTGAATAATATACGACCAAATGAACAATATTGAGAAACATCTAGCAACATCGAACAACATTAATCAACATTGGTCATTAAGCAACACTTAGCAACATTTGGGCAACATCGAATAATATACGACCAAATGAACAATATTGAGAAACATCTAGCAACATCGAACAACATTAATCAACATTGGTCATTAAGCAACACTAAGCAACATTTCGGCATCATTTGAACAACACTCAGCAATATTCAGCAATGTTTAACAACATTTAGGCAACATTTAACAATATTAGGAAACATTTAAGCAACAGTTAAACAACATTTAATTTGAGCAACATTTAAGCAACATTTAAGCAGCATTTAAGCAGCATTTTAGCAACATTTGAACAACATTTGAGCAACATTGAATAATATACGACCAAATGAACAATATTGAGAAACATCTAGCAACATCGAACAACATTAATCAACATTGGTCATTAAGCAACACTTAGCAACATTTGGGCAACATCGAATAATATACGACCAAATGAACAATATTGAGAAACATCTAGCAACATCGAACAACATTAATCAACATTGGTCATTAAGCAACACTAAGCAACATTTCGGCAACATTTGAACAACACTCAGCAATATTCAGCAATGTTTAACAACATTTAGGCAACATTTAACAATATTAGGAAACATTTAAGTAACATTTAAGCAACAGTGAAACAACATTCAATTTGAGGAACATTTAAGCAACATTTAAGCAGCATTTAAGCAGCATTTTAGCAACATTTGAACAACATTTGACCAACATTGAATAATATACGACCAAATGAACAATATTGAGAAACATCTAGCAACATCGAACAACATTAATCAACATTTGTCATTAAGCAACACTAAGCAACATTTGGGCAACATCGAATAATATAGGACCAAAAAATTAACAACATTGAGTATTGAAGCATTAAATAACATTTGAGTAAAATTAAGCGATATTTGAGTAAATTTTTGAGCAGTCGCCTATATAAGGAGAAGGCTGTCGGGAACAGTTCATTTCAATCAGTGATGTCAGTGTTTTGCCCGCTCTGTGATAAACAATTCGCTAACAAGCGAAGTCTGTCCTCACACAAAAGTCGGTTTCATCGAGAGAACGTACAGTCAGACACAAGCTCTATCGTGTCAAAAGCTAACTCGGATGTGTCTGATGTTGAAATGGATTATCCTGCTGCCACATATTCAGATACTGATACAACAATATCTGAAAGATCTCATCAAGACGGTTCTAACTCTGAGGAAACAAGCGGTGATGATGAGTCAAAAACAGAATCTAGTATTGTTCGACAACGCAAAGGCAAGCGAAAAGGTGTAGTAATCAAGCAAATAAATAAAAAGGTGAAGATGTCGAAATTACTCAAAACTCTAGACGTCCTGTTACAAAGAAAATTATGTAAGGAGGAAGACACATGTTTCGACTTTTTATTCTCTTACATAATGAAAACTGAAATTTTTGAGACATTGGAGCAGCTTCTCGTTGACTGTGGACAAGATATCACCACAATTTTAAGTATGGAAGAGCGAGCTCTATTGGATGCAGTTATCACGACTACTAGTCTATCTGATGTCAACAAACTAATGAACGAGAACAAAAATATCGTTAGGAAGATTCATGAACTTTATAACCAAAACGTTGTTAACTATTGATAAGTATTTGAACATATATAATATATATGATATAGAGTTATTGAATATAGTTTTGTTAAAGTTATCTTCAAAAATCTAAACGTGTGTTTCCTTGTCTACATTATAACTTATTTAAATAATACATTATAATTATCATTCAGTATTCATTCATATAATATAATTTTAGAAAGTAGAAAATATCTAGACCAGTTCTTGACAAGAGATTTGTGTCAATTACATTGCACAGATGTTACTGTAACTATGCTGTACAAGGCTTATGGCTATACAATGACGTAGTATTCTTGAGCTGCTGTAGAGTAACCATCCGCATCCTGAAAGTGCTCTTTATAAATTAGATTCCATATCAAACAGTCAGTGTTACGTGACCGACTACGGTAAAAGAATTAAAAACTTAACCTTAAAGTTAAAGATAATAACAATTAAAGCTTAAGCAGAGTCAAAATTTACGCAACACACAGCTGAACGCTGAATGATAGTGTAAGCAAAGTTGCAGGTGTTGTCCTGAAACGGTACACTCTGTCCCTAGTTAAATTTAGAAAGCACATTATTCATTATCTCACTTTATCAGCACACTTTACAAATAAAAGGTCGCCGCGTGCCAGATGTTAACGCTGTTGATAGTGATACTTGGTGTTACATTTATATCTAGAGATGCATGCATGCATGCATGCATTCATTCATTCATTCATTCATTCATTCATTCATTCATTCATTCATTCATTCATTCATTCATTCATTCATTCATTCATTCATTCATTCATTCATTCATTCATTCATTCATTCATTCATTCATTCATTCATTCATTCATTCATTCATTCATTCATTCGTAAAATATTATTATTATTATTATTTTCAGAGCTAGATGAATCAATCATGAGATTCTATCACAATTTGTAGCGTAATTTGATAGTTATGAATCCTAACCTGCTCTTCTATCATCAGAGACTTGGTTTGCGAATTTCTCAAAGCACTTTATTGGTCGGAATTGAATGATTTGGTGAATCTTTGTAACCTCGAGACCATGCTCCAAATACCAAAGAAGCAGAGGGGTGATTAAGAGGATCTTCTGTCCGAACATAGACCCAATCAAATACTTTGTCGGTGAGAACTTTTTACCAGACTCCTCGAGGTAACTGTTCATGAAAGTACCAATGTTTTCTACCGACACCTCAACGTTTTTAAATATTGGAGTCATCTCAGAAAACTTTGCTTTTAAATGATCTGGTACATGTATGTCAACCTCAACAGCTCCAAACAGTGACCCTTTTTTAATCATCGAAATTATATCAGTTTCGGTCAATCGAAATTTTTCTTCGCCAGGGTAATGATACTTGTTGGCTGGCTTTTCCTTACTACACAGTTCTTTCCAGGAACATTCCCAAATCGTTACCAATTCATGACCTTGTTCTCGAATGTAGCTTTCAATGTTTTTCGTAGCAATCAGTCGATCATCGAATGACTTCCAACTTTTAGCAGGGGTTTTGCGGTCATATTTCGTATCACTGAAGCAATTCTGACAACCATGATAAAAGCAACCATGATACTGATAAACAGTATTTGTCGTCCTGAAAACACATTTCGTGAGTTGCTAATGCAGTTCAATCTGATATTGCTACGAAACTAACGACATCAATTTTGTTAAATACTTGTATTCCTATGCAATATAATGACAAGAAGTGATTAGTATTTGTATCACGTCGCGATCCTCACCGATGTTTCATTACTTTCTCCAGGTAGGTCTGCAACGTACGACAAATGAGTATTCAGTAAACACTAAATTAACTTACTTGCAAAATCCATCCACTCGTATTTTCTTACTGCCTACTTGATACTCAGACCCATTACGAGCGTGCTGAATATGGATAGTTTCCTTATCCTCAATGGAAGACAGCCAATGCGTTGCCCCATAGGACTGATTTGATGGGTATTCCTTGGTGAAACCATTAATAGCCTGGGTGTCCTCCACGAAAGTTATATCGTAGGTTATATCGTATACTCTAAGATCGATCGTAACTTTACGATCGCGCCTAAAAAGTGTCCACGAAACATTTTGTACTCTGCGATCATGTAATTTAATTTAATTAGCCTCCGGAGTTTTGTCCACGAAACTCAATTCAAGGTTGATCGTAGAGCAAATTGTTTTATCACGTGACGCAGTACATTGACCAATAGGAGATTCGCAACACAAGTTAATTCACGCAGTCGGAACGCGCAGCTCTTCCTGCTAAACTGTCCAAAGCAAGGGTTTCCACCTTGCTGAGAGGGGGCGCCGAGCTGGCGCCACCACCAGTCTTTCACTGCTCCTTTTCAATGTTGCGAAATGTGAAGCTTGGTCCTAGCAGAGCATGAAGTGTCGATCCATTTCTTCCTAACAGTAACATCCCGCCATTATCTGTCTCCTTTACCGTTGATTGCGTTCACCGACTTCGTTATTGCTAACCACAATTTCTCCTTTGCCTCGCTGCAGTTACAGTAGGTGTAAATCTGCCTTTGATAATTATAGCTGTGTTCTTCCCCGCCTCCTGCATAATAACTTGCACCTCCTCCGAGGTGAAGTTCCGCTTTCGTTCCTTCTTGACAACTGCAGTTACGGGCTCCGCCTTCTGTTTCTTTCTTTTCCTTTTCCGTAGTGAGGCATTGATCATGGTTATCGGCGGGGTTATTCCAATATTCGAAGTAGTGAGGTCGCCATCTGATGTAATTCTAGCGAGGTCAGTGTCTAAAGTTGCTACTGTTAGGTCAGTGTCCAAAGAAGGTCCTGTCGAATCCGATGAGATCTGTTCAGTATTGGATGAGGAAGGCCGGTCTATAGGATCAGAAGGTGGATTTATAGCGGTAATATCAGATACGGTCTGCATGATGAAGGTTGATAAGTAGCAGAAAATAAATTTGAGCGGCAGAAAACTTGACTGTATTATTGACCGTGACGGGATTAGTGGCCGTGAAGGGATTATTGGCCGTGAAGGGATTATTGGCCGTGAGGGGAATATTCTTTCCGGCGAAGGGAATTATTATCATGAGGTTGTTTATATTTTTATCATAGCCAGTGTCCGATATGATCTGAATGGTAATAATTTTTAATTTCGTTTAATAGGTATAGGAAGAAGATTCAGTAATAGCGTAATATCGACCTCCAAGTTGATCGTAAGTCCCTAAAAGTTGACAAATAGGTGTCGTGAGTTATATCGTAAGTGGCCATTTCTACGATCAACCAAAAGTTCAACTTACGATCAAATTTTGAATCTACGATCGCGTGATTCACCTCACGCACCCAGCACGCTCCTTATTTGGGTTAATAAGGTGGTAGTAGGATATCATATGTAGATCGTAAAGTTATATCGCAAGTAGCTAAAGTTCAATCGTAAGGCTTAATTCGATTAACGTTTCGTGGACAGATTGATAGTAACTTTGACAGTGGATGTCTCACGATCGTAAATATTACAGCCTAAGTTTGATCGTAACTGTTTCGTGGAGGACACCCTGGCGTCTCAAGTACATTCCACAAGGACACTCTTCAGCCATGCACTCTGAGAAAGTTTGACTTATGTTAATTCCGTAATATATTTGTAACAGTACTACTAGTACTATGTTTCCAATGGATCTAATGGATCTTTAGGTGACAATAGGATTTTGAAATTTCTGCACGGGCAGAAGCTCTAACCATTATGTCACCTAACCATCCATAGTATTTGTTGCAAAATGCTCCGCATATGGTAATATCCGACCCGTTGAACCGATTTTGACTGTTTAAGTAGACAGAAAGTCAATATCAGATAATAGTGCTTGGTATCAACTTGTCACTATATGAACACAATACCTAAACTTTTGAATCCTGATAACTAATAAATTGCGTGATACGACACAAATCATGGGCATTACTTAAGTAAAGTGCGTTGGCATCAAATCCCAGTATCCTCGCACAGTAAGGACCGTCTGGATCATGTCGAATCTTAGTCTTGCCTGATAAAACATGAACTTTTGTATATAAAAATATAAGTCATTCAAACTCTAAAATCAACCTCATTTTTGGAAAAATACCGAGGATATGAGTTACCAAGTGTGCTAACCTGTTTCCTGAAATCTATCAAAAATAATGGCAGGACCTCCAACCAAATTATCTCTGAAAAGCTTGACGAGATCCTTGTTCTTTTTATTAAACAGAAAGAATGTTTCGTCTTCCTTGAGGGTCTGGAAGGCTATCCGCTCAGCTATCCCTGGTGCTAAAAACATGGACATTGGTTATCTAGAAATTGACAAATTAAACAACAATGACTTCATTGTCATGTTTAAAATTATTGGTGTAGGAGCCCTGTAGGAGCTGTCTAAATTAACGATTTTCTTACCTGATACTGCATCCTTAAACAGATCAACATTTCGATCCGTGTAGTATCTGGTCATATTCTCCAACGCTCGGATAAAAGGTTCAACATCCATGTTGTTGTAGTACACAAGATAATCTCGGATAGTCCACTCTCTCTCCTCGAAGATAGTCTTGAGATTATCGTAACGCTTTTCTCCGATCGTTTGGGCCTCCGGTTGGGTTATCGGTTCAGATTTTGTAGGACTGCGATTGATCCACAAAATCTCTTCATCTGTAATTTTCTGTTGACCGACTGGTGGCTCTAGCATATTTGTGTTCTTGAGGGAGGAGTAGAAGGCTGAATAACAAGGAAATTCTTTAGAATTAAGCTTTGACAGACAATCTAGATACTCGTATGGAAAGAATGATTTGGTGGTACTATCAACTCCATATGCTTTGATAAATGAGGCATAGTTGAAACCTGGGGCTATGTAGTACGTCGCATCCAGGAATTTTAACTCTTCTGTTGCTATAACCATGTACCCAGTCCCTTTCTTGATCACAAACTTGACAGAGTCAAGCCGTGTCAATAGGGGAGCCAACTCAGACCTAAGGACTTTCAAATCATATCTTGCTCCATTAAAACTCAGAACGGGAAGTTGACTGAGGTAAGTTTCGAACTTATCCTGCAAAGGTGAGTTTTCAAGTTGCTCCAAAACGTCAGTGAATTTTTCTCTTAAAATCATGGTTGATGTTTCACTAATTTCAATCAGGTAGTCAAGCATATCTTTGACCAACTTCTTTTGCTCACCTTCTTTTTCAAGTACAAAACACTGTGGTTTTTTGAAACCTTTTACATTTGAGCACACGGAGATGGACACAAGTTCATGCTCTGCTGAATAATCTATCTTTTCAGAACTCTCTCGACCTGTTTTCTTGATCATACACTCAATGTCGAAAGCAGCCAGATATGGAAACTTTCTGTTTTCTTTCGGAACCTTGATACCTACAGACTCTAACTCATCAAATATAGTAGGTTTGATCGTGAATACCCCACTTCCATAGTTCTCTTTCACACCTCCCTCACAATTTTTAATGTGCCGATGGAAGTTACCAGAATGAGACCAGATCTTATCACACTTCTTACATCTATAAGAGTTTGAATACAATTCTAGGTCCTTGACGAAACTAAAGTGGTCCTCATGAAGATGAAGATTCAAAACCTTTTCACCGTCAAGTGTGGACCGAAATATCAAATCTGTATCACGATTTTCTTTTTGTGTGTAAACATTGATCGCAATGTTAAAGATTCTGGATATATCTTCAAGTTGTTCAAGGAAGACACCGTCAAAGTTTGTAATAGAGGCTTCCGTACAGTACTTTTTTAAGAGTCTGTTTGTTGCTCTTTCCAAACCATTTAGAGGCGTGTTAAGGAGTAACGCCAAACACCTGAAGAAACATTTCTTATCGGTGTATGGTTGTCCCTTTTTGTCCTTTGTCAAAGCATTAAGACCCTTATTATTCAGAAGATGCGGTGGTAGTTCAGCAAAAGATCCTATGGCTATTCCTGGTAGCTTGAAAATGAAGAACTCAACATTTGTCACCTTAACAAAAACCCACTCAGTACTTGGACGTTGAACTTTGCTAATGAGAGAAATACTTTTCAGTGACTGGATGAAAGAGTTTTTATCCATAGAGTTACGAATAAGACTTGGTTTCACGAATAGGAGTTGATTGTTTTGCGAACTCCAATTAAATCTGTACTCTCCAGAAGTCTTATGTTGAAGAATCAAACCCATGGAAATGTTCACCTTAAAAGCGTTTGTCTGAGCTCTGAACACTTTCTTAAATAAATAAACCAACTCAGTCGGACTGAAGCTAGAAACTTGAAAATTGTACCTATTCATCAACCTTCCTAACTTCACTTTTGTACCAATAAACTTTCCGAAGTTCTTATAGACATCAATGTACTCTTCTTCTACTGCTTCCCCGATCGGACTTGGTGTTGAATCGACAGAATCACCATGGTGGAATTGAAGATTTAAATCCATCATGTGTACACTCTTGTGCTCCGAAAATAAGTTTGACTGAACACTTATACCACAGATTTCACACCTTATTCGACAACGATTACTTTTCTGATGACGTTCGAGATTATCATTTCTAGTCACAGAATCACATCGATCACAGGTCGTTATCTTGTGCTGAAATTATATCCATTTACGAAACTAGAAACATGTATAATAATTTTAGCGATAATTGTTAGTATAGTGATACTGATGATTATCAAATAAATTTTAATTCTTGCCGTTTGAATATTGATACAGACAACACACGTAATTGACATACAAGCTGCACGTCGTTCATAAACTTACCCGATTTGCAGAAGAACTCCTTGTGATATTATCACTCTGATGTTCATGTTGGTCGTTATGTTCATTGTCTACAGTCTGAAAGTCGGGAAAATGTCATGAAGAATTTCAATTATTTACAGATTTAATGTTATTGACAACATAAACGGGTTCTTTTGCGATAGTCAAAACGCGACAACTAGCGCTGGATGGCGACAACTAGCGCTATCCAGCGCTAGTTGTCGCCATCCAGCGCTAGTTGTCGCTATCCAGCGCTGGATAACGCTGGCCAGCGCTAAATATATTTGTTCGATAATTGTCGCTATGCAGCGCTAGTTGTCGCCATCCAGCGCTAGTTGTCGCCATCCAGCGCTGGTTGTCGCTATCCAGCGCTAATTGTCGCTGGCTATGCGACACTGTCGCACGCGATAGTTTGCGATGGCCAGCGCAACTGGCCATCGCAGAAAACAGTTCGATAACTAGCGCGCTGGCCAGCGCTAGCCAGCGCTGGCCATCGCTGGCCAGCGCAATGTATCAAAATCATATAATTATAATTGCGATATTACTCGTCAGCCAGCGCTAGCCAGCGCTGGCCATCGATAGCCAGCGCAAAATGTTTGCGATATTACTCGTCAGCTAGCGCTGGCCAGCGTAATGTATCAAAATCATATAATTGCGATATTACTCGGCAGCCAGCGCTGGCCATCGATAGCCACTGCAAAATGTTTGCGATATTATTATTACTCGTCAGCTAGCGCTGGCCAGCGCTAGCTAGCGCTAGCCAGCGCTGGCCATCACTGGCCAGCGCAATGCATCAAAATCATATATTTGCAATATTACTCGTCAACCAGCGCTAGGTAGTGCAAGTTATAAAAATCAAATATTTGCGATATTAATCGATGGCTAGCGCTGGTTAGTGCTGCCCAGTGCAATATACCAAAATCAAATATTAGCGATATTATTTATCGTCAGCTGACGCTGACTGACCAGCGCAATATATTTGCGCTTAACGCGGGTGATACTCGTAAAATTGGAAATATTTTTTCAAATCCAAGTCCAACTCGGTGCGCATTTATATGTAAAGGAACGGTTATAAACCTACATCTACACTGCCGTTCCCTGAGAAAACGCATTAAGTCACATCGAAGTCATTTTGAGAAAATGGGACAAACGTGTTCGTCGTTTTTTAAGTAATTTTATTTGCATAAACGGGGTTAATTTTGACATCTATTTGTAAATAAATTATTGTCATATGTCCTAAACATGCTTAAAAGCATAAATTCACCAATACTGATCTACAAAAACCATTTTCCTCCAGAATAACTGAACTATTTTCCCATCCGCATTGGACTTAATGCCTTTTCTGAGGGAATTGCGGACTTAATGCCTTTTATCAGGATCGATTTCAACCGATTCCTCTCTAGAAAGGCAGTAAGTCCATTTTTTCTCAGATAAAGTCAACACAGAAAATACAACATTTCTATATTTTTGATCATATCTTTGCAATATAATTATGTGGGCCTCCTGTGTATTGCAAGTAAGTAATATTGACGAAAAATGGATAATTTTTCGCTCAAAATGCCTATAACTTCTTAAATATCGAATATTTTGGAATAATTTTTACAGCATCGTATTCAGCTCGGTCAGACGCATTAATTTGGGTAAAAATATTTAAACATACAATATTTAAAGCACCAAATTTTTCAAAAAATGTTTCAATAATTCACACAAGGGGGGACCCTTGTGTTCAGGTTCAAAAATTATGAAAATAATATTTCTTTAAATTTTGAAATATTACTACCAAAATTTTTTGCTTGCTGAGCTGACCACATAAAAATTGTTTCGATATAACTAAAACTGTGGAAGTTATAGGCCAAAAACTATACAAACTGCAAATTTTTGATAAATTTTCGATAAATTTTCGATAATTGTCGCGACAAATAGCGCTGGATAGCGACAACTAGCGCTAAGCAATAGCCAGCGAAAAATTTTTGCGATATTACTCGTCAGCTAGCGCTGGCCAGCGCTAGCCATCGCTAGCCAGCGCTGGCCATCGCTAGCCAGCACTGGCCATCGCTGGCCAGCGCAATGTATCAAAATCATATAATTATAATTGCGATATTACTCGTCAGCCAGCGCTAGCCAGCGCTGGCCAGCGCTGGCCAGCGCAATGTATCAAAATCATATACTTGCGATATTACTCGTCAGCCAGCGCTAACCAGCGCTAACCAGCGCTAGCCAGCGCTAGCCAGCGCTGGCTAGCGCTGGTTAGCACCAAATTTTTCAAAAAATGTTTCAATAATTCACACAAGGGGGGACCCTTGTGTTCAGGTTCAAAAATTATGAAAATAATATTTCTTTAAATTTTGAAATATTACTACCAAAATTTTTTGCTTGCTGAGCTGACCACATAAAAATTGTTTCGATATAACTAAAACTGTGGAAGTTATAGGCCAAAAACTATACAAACTGCAAATAAAGTCTGGACTTAATGCCTTTTCTCAGGGAATCTCAAGGAACAGAAAAAGTTTCCTCAGAGAAGGCATTACAAATGGACTTAATGCCTTTTCTCAGGGAAAGTTTTGGAATAACGAGCTAAATATTCACGTTTTGTGTGACTTAATGCCTTTCGCGGCAGCTAAAACAGTATTTTGATAACTTGATTCATAGCTTAAGTTGTAGAGAATCTTCTCCTGAAAATTTTGGTACCAATATCTCAAAATTTCGAAAAAATGGACTTAATGCGTTTTCTCAGGGAACGGCAGTACAATCGTCTGCTAGCGTTGGCTTACTAGCTGGGCGGAGCTCAACTTACTGGGCGGCGCTCAGCCTGTCATTCCGCGGGATCTCTATTATATGTTTATCTCTATTCTATGTTTATAAACATAGTAGCCTGCGGTCCCCAGTATGTGGCTCAGTATGCAGTATGCAATACACCGCTATATTAGCAGACTTTGATTCACGATGTCAATCCTTCGCAGCTCGGTGAGGCACAGTGGTGCATCTCGCCGATCTACCGAAGTGTGGTTGCGAGAAGCATTATTTGATGCGCGCGCGACCCAGTAGTGCATCGCGCTACAATAGCAGACTTTACTCAACGCGCTAAATTCTATTACATATATATTATGCGCGGCGCTCTTTTCGATCGTGAATCCTAGTAAGGTCAGGAAACCTTACTGGATGCACAAAATGATCATAGTGCAAATAAACTTCGGCTAACTGCTAACTAAGCAGCAGTTTCTTTGCACTATAGTTAACGGGTGATACTCGTAAAATATTTGTTCCAACTCGGCGCGCGTCCTGGAAGGTTATAAACCTACAACACTATGGTTCTCCTGTGTCGTGCGCGGCGGGTAAGATCATACAACGCGTTGCGTATGACAACAATGTCCTTAATTCTCCTCCAGACCCAGAAAAGCTTACCGGCTGGCCGTGGTACTAGAGGTGGTTGTTTTTCGATGGCACGTGTGTCAGCGCGCGTGACGTAACGTTCACTGCATGATCGCTCGCTCGCTCGCGTGAATTACAATCTGGAGTCATGACAACGACATTACTTCGCAAAGTTTAAAAGCTGCGATCTTTTATTTAGCCCAAAATCAAACTTTTCGCGATAATTCAAAATCTACATTGTTTTGAATTTGGCTCCTAGGGAGCCTACTTTAGTTTTACGAGACGGACATTTTGTGACATTAAGTGACCGTTGAGCCACACTTCTTGACAAATTTTGTTTAGAATAACGACCCAATCATAAGGTAAAAAGTGTAAGCTGTATTTTAACGGCTAACTTTAGTTCACAGTTCATCTAAGTCATCCAAGTTTGGAGGAATTATACGGCTACTTTTGTGATTCTTTACAGTCTTGAACGATAATACCTTGCTACGTGTCAACTGGGCCCAGAAAACCTTACTGTTAGGGGCCTAACTTCGGAAGTAAAAGAGATAAAAACGTCCGGTTTTCAACAAAATGTCCGTCTCGTAAAACTAAAGTAGGCTCCCTAGGAGCCAAATTCAAAACAATGTAGATTTTGAATTATCGCGAAAAGTTTGATTTTGGGCTAAATAAAAGATCGCAGCTTTTAAACTTTGCGAAGTAATGTCGTTGTCATGACTCCAGATTGTAATTCACGCGAGCGAGCGAGCGATCATGCAGTGAACGTTACGTCACGCGCGCTGACACACGTGCCATCGAAAAACAACCACCTCTAGTACCACGGCCAGCCGGTAAGCTTTTCTGGGTCTGGAGGAGAATTAAGGACATTGTTGTCATACGCAACGCGTTGTATGATCTTACCCGCCGCGCACGACACAGGAGAACCATAGTGTTGTAGGTTTATAACCTTCCAGGATGCGCGCCGAGTTGGAACAAATATTTTACGAGTATCACCCGTTAACTATAGTGCAAAGAAACTGCTGCTTAGTTAGCAGTTAGCCGAAGTTTATTTGCACTATGATCATTTTGTGCATCCAGTAAGGTTTCCTGACCTTACTAGGATTCACGATCGAAAAGAGCGCCGCGCATAATATATATGTAATAGAATTTAGCGCGTTGAGTAAAGTCTGCTAATATAGCGGTGTATTGCATACTGCATACTGAGCCACATACTGGGGACCGCAGGCTACTATGTTTATAAACATAGAATAGAGATAAACATATAATAGAGATCCCGCGGAATGACAGGCTGAGCGCCGCCCAGTAAGTTGAGCTCCGCCCAGCTAGTAAGCCAACGCTTGCAGACGATTGTAGATGTAGGTTTATAACCGTTCCTTTACATATAAATGCGCACCGAGTTGGACTTGGATTTGAAAAAATATTTCCAATTTTACGAGTATTACCCGCGTTAAGCGCAAATATATTGCGCTGGTCAGTCAGCGTCAGCTGACGATAAATAATATCGCTAATATTTGATTTTGGTATATTGCACTGGGCAGCACTAACCAGCGCTAGCCATCGATTAATATCGCAAATATTTGATTTTTATAACTTGCACTACCTAGCGCTGGTTGACGAGTAATATTGCAAATATATGATTTTGATGCATTGCGCTGGCCAGTGATGGCCAGCGCTGGCTAGCGCTAGCTAGCGCTGGCCAGCGCTAGCTGACGAGTAATAATAATATCGCAAACATTTTGCACTGGCTATCGATGGCCAGCGCTGGCTGCCGAGTAATATCGCAATTAAATGATTTTAATACATTACGCTGGCCAGCGCTAGCTGACGAGTAATATCGCAAACATTTTGCGCTGGCTATCGATGGCCAGCGCTGGCTAGCGCTGGCTGACGAGTAATATCGCAATTATAATTATATGATTTTGATACATTGCGCTGGCCAGCGATGGCCAGCGCTGGCTAGCGCTGGCTAGCGCTGGCTAGCGCTGGCTAGCGCTGGCTAGCGCTGGCTGACGAGTAATATCGCAAGTATATGATTTTGATACATTGCGCTGGCCAGCGCTGGCCAGCGCTGGCTAGCGCTGGCTATCGATGGCCAGCGCTGGCTAGCGCTGGCTGACGAGTAATATCGCAATTATAATTATATGATTTTGATACATTGCGCTGGCCAGCGATGGCCAGCGCTGGCTAGCGATGGCCAGCGCTGGCTAGCGCTGGCTAGCGCTGGCTAGCGCTGGTTAGCGCTGGTTAGCGCTGGCTGACGAGTAATATCGCAATTATAATTATATGATTTTGATACATTGCGCTGGCCAGCGATGGCCAGCGCTGGCTAGCGCTGGCTAGCGCTGGCTAGCGCTGGCTAGCGCTGGCTAGCGCTGGCTAGCGCTGGCTAGCGCTGGCTAGCGCTGGCTGACGAGTAATATCGCAAGTATATGATTTTGATACATTGCGCTGGCCAGCGCTGGCCAGCGCTGGCTAGCGCTGGCTATCGATGGCCAGCGCTGGCTAGCGCTGGCTGACGAGTAATATCGCAATTATAATTATATGATTTTGATACATTGCGCTGGCCAGCGATGGCCAGCGCTGGCTAGCGATGGCCAGCGCTGGCTAGCGCTGGATAGCGCTGGCCAGCGCTGGTTAGCGCTGGTTAGCGCTGGCTGACGAGTAATATCGCAATTATAATTATATGATTTTGATACATTGCGCTGGCCAGCGATGGCCAGCGATGGCCAGCGCTGGCTAGCGCTGGCTAGCGCTGGCTAGCGCTGGCTAGCGCTGGCTAGCGCTGGCTAGCGATGGCTAGCGATGGCTAGCGCTGGCCAGCGCTAGCTGACGAGTAATATCGCAAAAATTTTGCGCTGGCTATTGCTTAGCGCTTGCCAGCGCTGGCCAGCGCTAGTTGTCGTTATCCAGCGCTATTTGTCGCGACAATTATCGAAAATTTATCGAAAATTTATCAAAAATTGATCTGTGCGCTGGTTAGCGCTGGATAGCGCTGGCCAGCGCTGGCCAGCGCTGGCTAGCGCTGGATAGCGACAACTAGCGCTGGCCAGCGCTAGTTGTCGCCATCCAGCGCTAGTTGTCGCTATCCAGCGCTAGCCAGCGCTGGCCAGCGCGCTAGTTATCGAACTGTTTTCTGCGATGGCCAGTTGCGCTGGCCATCGCAAACTATCGCGTGCGACAGTGTCGCATAGCCAGCGACAACTAGCGCTGGATAGCGACAACCAGCGCTGGATGGCGACAACTAGCGCTGGATGGCGACAACTAGCGCTGGATAGCGACAATTATCGAACAAATATATTTAGCGCTGGCCAGCGTTATCCAGCGCTGGATAGCGACAACTAGCGCTGGATGGCGACAACTAGCGCTGGATAGCGCTAGTTGTCGCCATCCAGCGCTAGTTGTCGCGTTTTGACTATCGCAAAAGAACCCATAAACGTTATCGTGATCAATTAAGTTAATTGTTCGAAGTCATTAATTACTCAGTTTACTCTGAATTTGTCAAGTTAATGATACAATTTTGATTCAGATATTCGACAATATGATAGCTTTATAAAGATAATGTAGGAATAAGAAATGTTGAAGTTTCACTCACAAACTTTGGAGTTTCTCTGGAAGAAGTCATGTCGTCATCTTTCAACCAAAATTCTGCTCCAGTTCTGCTTTCTTCGGAACAGACGTGTTCCCTTAGCTCGATATCCGACTAGGGAACCCAGATATCATTATTATTTTTAAAACATTTGTTTTATTAATTTGTTATCCATTTCCAAAAACAGCTGCGTGTTAAGTTAGTAATTATTTTATCGAATGAAATAAAATAATAACTCACCCTAGCACAAAAACCACATTCTCTGCATTCTCCAACACGTCGCCTCCGTTTCTTCCTAGATGTCGACAATTGACCCAGAGGTTCAGTCCTCTCTCCGTCCGAATTCATCATCAAACCAATCCCCAGAAAAAGAAGAGCCCATCTTTTAAGGCGACAGTATGTCATGTAATAGTGTATCTTCCTGTGTGAATGAATCAGATTTCTACGCTCGGATAATAGAACGAACATCAAGATTCAAGACTTTGCATTAAGAAAATTGAGGTAACGACAAGATAACTTCTGAAACATTTATTGGAAATGAGTAAATGGTAAATCATAAGAAATAAATACATTTATAAAATTTCGACGTAAAGTTTTAAGAGTCTGGTCGGCCGAAAAGGTGAATTATAATGACCTTTTATTTGATCATTGTTAATGGACTAGTCCGGCGTGCGCTACTTCGTACCTCGTGCCTCGGGCTACTTCGAAGAAATTTAGACGAGTAACAGCCGTCAACCTTGTATAAGTTCCAATTTCTACAACTGTACTAAAATACTATGCTGATATACTACAACTCAAATATAACTAAGCAGAATAGTGCGAACCTTGAGAATAAGATTAAACAAAATAACTCTGATCCAGACGACACTTACCTAAGACCTCAAGATATGAAGAAAAGAGACTCTCCAGAAACGCAACTGCTCACAAATATATAAGCTATTTCACAAAGACAAAGACTGAGCACTAATTTTAAGGGACAGTCGTCTAATTGAGGTAAGGAGCATCATCTTTCATTGGTTATTATATAAACAATTCTCCCGCACATTGTTGCTTAATTCCTCTAGATCTTTTGATATGATTGTAATAAGTAGAAAATATCTAGAAAATATCTAGACCCGTCCTAACAACGCGAACGGATACAAGTAAAATGTAACAATTGACTGCAACGGTAGTTCGTATTTATTTTTAACCTCGGTTGGCTGGCAAGTTAACTGTCGTGTTTCTTTTGAAACACACCACCTGTTCACAATTATACCTTATCAAGTTATCAAACAAAGACTAATTTCATGAGGGCTATAGTCCTCTATTGAAGTAAAAAGCCTTATCTAAATCTTTCATTGGTTATTATATTTTAAAAATTCCTCGCACACTGTTCAATTTGTCTAGATCTTCTGATATAATTGTAAAAAGTAGAAAATATCTAGACCAGTCTTGTCAAAAGTTTAAATTTTAGTCAAATACAATACACAGCTGTTACGGTAACTGTGTTGTACATGGTTCATGGTTATACAATGACGTATTATTCTTGAGGCTGTAGAGTAACCATTCTGAGAGTACTCTTTATAAACTAGATTTCATAATATATATAAAACAGTCAGTGTTACGTGACCGACTACAATCAAAAGAATTAAAAACGGTAAGCTTAAGTTTAAATTGAATAATAATTAGGTGAACCAGAGAAAAAATTGTACGCAACACACAACTGAACGCTAAGTAGTAGTGTAAGATACGTTCCAGGTGTTGTCCTAAACTGCACACTTCTAGCTAGCAAGAAAACAACAAATTTCACATAAGTGAAAGTCACTATATCACTTTATCAGTACATTGTACAGAGGTCGCCTCAAACCAGATGTTAATAATGTCGATAGACAACTGATGTAATTGTACGTGAACGTGTACACTATACATTTAACGACTTCTGCTGTGTGATGAATGTATTATGTAGGGTTAGATTGCTTGAATATGGGTTAAACTAGGTTAAAATGTGTACCATAATAATATAATCACATTGGAGAACGACTCCGACTGGGATTCGAACTTGTAACCTCTGGCTAAAATGTGGCAGATTAGTCAACTGTGCTAAAGCTAAATGTGCCTCAATTTTAGGGGTAAACGGAGCTCGAAAAAATCCTCTTACACTACTTGTAACGCGATGCTTCACATTAGCTACACAGTACACAGTACACATAGCCATGTGTCTACGCGTACTGCAGACGCGCTTGTTTCACTTGACGGATGTTACTCGTCTAAATTTCTTCGAAGTACGATGTAGCTATAGCGCGCACCGCTTTCCTCTCGAAAGTGCTACGAAGTAGCGCGCGCCGGGCCAGACCATTAACAATGGTCAAGTTTATAACCTACCAAGACGCGTGCCGAGTTTGGAGTTCATGGATGGCTCTATCCAGAGCCCTTGCGCTTACATAGCTACATAACAGTAGCGCGTTGCTCTAACCAGAGCCCTCTCGCTTGCAGTAGCGCGTAGACACATGGCTATGTGAAGTAGCGCGCGCCCGCCTCACGGCGCGAAAGCACATGGTTAGGTGAAGTTCATGGACGCAATTTTACGAATATTTTGGAAAACTTTGTAGAGCAACGATCTGAAAGGGTTGACATCGTCAAATAAACAAATACTTTACAAGTATCACCCGTTAATAATCACTGAGCGGCTCTCAAGCTCAGCTTACCCGAGGACCCCAGGCTATAATATAATGTTAATAAACATAAAGATTCGGTGGAACGAGCGCCGCTCAGTCGCAGTCTTAGAAAACTTTACTTGCTTATATTTATCTCTGAAAGTTAAAGAGATAGACATTTCCGTTTAAAAAAAGTAAAACTAAAGTATAAGCTCCACACACCACTGCAGGAGCAAAATTTGAAACAACGTAGGTTTAATTGCAAAGGTATCCAGAAAAGTCTCTGGGGCGAATAAAAGCGCTCCTACTAAATCGTTCGCCCAAATTTGGCTGAATTACGTCACGTGCTGCTTATTGAATATTGAAAATGGAATGCTTATGCTTCACGCGTTACGTTCAACTTAATGTTGCGCGCCAGCTCAATCCGTTTTGTTGGGGACCGGCCCGAAGTACCAGCCAATGTTTACTCAAAAAATAATATATATAATAAGTGTTATCAATTCAAACTCAAAACTCACTAAAGATTAGATCTCATTAAAACGATTAATATGTATATCATGGAGCTTGTCGAACAAAGCATAGCTGAGCACATATAAAGTTGCCTTTAGTTAAAATTATCATATTAATGCCCTTTTATAGTTGTAGAGTGGAAACAGGCGCATAGCTACGGCTAGCTAGCTATTCCAAAATTTTTTAAATTGAATTTGAACGACTGTTATCAGTCGCATAGCGTCATGCCTTTTTTGCTGGCGAATTGATGGCAGTGTAACTGAGATGGTATGCAGTGAGATTGATTCTGTGATGGCGTGCTTATGAGACAGAGATATTATTAGCATTGCGGTTGATGTTGCGCTCTGATTTCCTTAGTCCCGTTATATTGTATAACATAAAGTTGGGCCATTCGTCTGCAATGCCCTCGTTTTGTTGATCAATGAGCATGTTTTTTATGCACCTTTTGTAGATGTTAAGGTTGAATAGACTTGGCAAGGAAGTTGCTGCGACACTATATCTGTTTATTATATATTGCTAGTAGTGGACCTTTGTAGAATACTGAATTATTGTAAGGGTATTTACCATATTCATCTGACCATGTAGTACTATGAACTGTCAATATTTTGTGTACATAGAAACCAGACTTGGTACTTGCTGGTGGTGTACCATCTTTGTACCAGTAATTAACAAAACCTGGTAGTATTGCTCTAAGACCCATTTTTTGTTTTACAAATAGTGTTTCAATATGGGATTTGGCAGCAAAACCCCAGACGAGGGAGCAGTAATTAAGGTGAGACTGCACAAAGCTGTGATATATTTGTAAACGTGCTTCCAGAGGCAAATATTTTTTAAGTTTGTACATGACTCCAATGTATCTGGCCATTTTCATTTTCATGGCAGAAATATGTTGCGACCAGTTCAGTTTGTTATCTATTATAACTCCTAAGAAACGGGCTTCTGTTTTTCTTTCGATTGTGACACCAGAAATTACTACATCGCGATAAATAAGGTTTCTTTGCCGAGAAAAGATCATATAATTCGTTTTTTAAAGATTTAGAGCTAATTCGTTGTTATCTACCCATTTTACTAAGACATCGCTAAGAATTTTGAGCTTATCATAAACCTCGTTTATATTTTCTCCTGTTAGGAAAATGTTTGCATCATCTGCGTACATGATGAAATTAGCTATTTCGGATATTTGAGGAAGATCGTTTATGTAGATTATAAAAAGGAGAGGTCCCAAAATTGAACCTTGGGGTACACCGTAAATAATGGGGTTAGCTGAGGATTCAGAGGATCCAATTGATACATACTGGTTTCTGTTCGTAAGATATGATTTAAACCAGTTTAAAGCTAGACCTCTTATGCCATAGTGCTCGAGCTTATTCAGGAGTATGGAGTGATCCACAAGGTCAAAGGCTTTGCTAAAGTCAATCAACAGGAGCAAAGTAACTTGCTTTTTGGACATTGAATTGAGGATTCTGTCTTTAGCATTAAGAAGGGCATGTTCACAAGACCTACCTGGGCGGAAGCCGTATTGATTTTCACAAAGTATATTGTAGGTATCCAAGAAATTTATGACTCGATTGTGCATAAGCTTTTCGTAGACTTTTGAGAAAGTGGCAAGTAGAGATATCGGTCTGTAATTTTTGATGTCAGTTTTAGATCCACCTTTATGTACAGGAACTACTTTTGCCGTTTTCAAGGCTTGGGGAAAGACCCCTTGTTCGAACGAGCTGTTAACAACGTGGGCCAATACAGTGGTAAAATTGTGACAGCTGTTGGCAATTTTGAGTGGTTGGATTTTGGTGTCAAGAGTAGCTTTATTCTTAAATAGGTTAAATTAATAACGTCTTGAACTTCGGTAGTTGTGACTGGTTTTATGTAGATACTATTTGGAGAAGGGTTGCGAAGTGTCCCCTGGGCCCCACCAGGATCGAACGTGGTCCTACTACTAATTTCAGATTTAATTTTTGGAGCGATGTTTGAGAAGTGATCATTAAACTTTTCTGCTACTGCTGCCGGAGTGCTGACTTGTCCGTTTTCGTCCGACAGTTTTATCGATGTAGGTTTAGCTGGTTTCCTATTCAGAAGACTGTTAATCATCTGCCACTGCTTCTTAGAATTATCTTTGTGTTGTTCGAAGAATTTTTTGTAGTATATGTTTTTGGCTTTGTCAACGTGTTTAGTGCAAAACTTTTTCAAACGGTCGTATTTTAGCTGGTTCCTATCAACTGGTTCCTTAACAAAATCATGATATGCCTGATTTTTTCGTTCTATAGCTTCTTCAAGCCAGGGCAGTATCCATGGTTTGGGATTAACACGTTCATTTTGTCTGCGCTCGGACTGTCTCTTAGTCGGGTAAGCAGCGTTATAAATCCTGTTGTAAGCCGAATTTAAACAATCAAACTGCTGGTTAGCATCATGGGTATTTGTTAGTATTACAGACCAATTTTCTTCCATTATTAAATCTCTAAACTTATGGTTGTTGGCCTCATTAAAACTACGTACGTTGGTTTGAGTTGGATTTTGATTATAAGATGCGGAGCGGTAACTGCTGGTGGATGTATTATCAAGATTAATTGTTCATGTTGTAACTATCGCTAAGTGATCCGACAGATCTGTCGTTAATACGTTGCAGCTTATTGTATCTTCAAGATTGTTCGTGTAGATATGATCAATAAGCGTGGCACTGTGGTCTGTTATGCGAGTTGGACGTGATACAATTTGGATGAAACCGTAAGAGGATGCAATATCTATAATGCTTTGACATGCCTGGTTGCTACTGTGCTTCAGTAAATTTAGGTTAAAATCTCCATGTAACGTCATATGTTTGCGAGAGTGTCTTCCCAGGTTGTGAAGTGTACTTTTAAAAATCTCAAGAAATGCTTCAGGTTTTCTAGCGGGAGAGCGATAAACATTTCCAATTATCTTTGTTCTATTATATCCTTTACACTGGTGGATCTTGATAAATTGAAATTCGCCGCTAGTATTTGAGGGTTCAGGGTTGGGATTGAAAACATCAATTTTATCAGAGTCAACTACACGTTTGTGTATGTATATGGCAAGCCCCCCACCTTTACCCGTTGTGCGGATGGGATCTTGGATATGCGGTTCATGGAATCCATTTAATGTGATGTCGTTTATTCCGTTGGGCAATTTTCCTAGAGTGCAGTTAGTTTCGTTAAAACACAATACATCATACTTATCATATATTTCTATATCTTCTCGTAGTTGATCAATATTTTTGAAAAGGGATCTGATGTTCATGGAAAATGTTTTAAGTTGAGAGGATGTCGACCTTTTCACGTTACGTTGCTGTTTATACTGACAGTGAGTTAGGAAAGCCGAAATGTCACTCCATGTTGAATCCTGGTGCTCTTCGTTGGTCATGGCGTCTCCAATAAGATTACATCGACTATTTTGAGCGTATGGATTATAAATAGCGCCATTAAGCTTATTGTAGTCATCGTAAATTTCATAGTAAGTCGCGTAAAATCCAGGAATAAGACTATCACAACAGCTTGTACAACCTAAATTGTCCTTAAAACATTTGACGTGGACGTTGTTATGGCACCATGAGCAGCTGCGGATGTTTTTGGAAGAATAACACCAACCGCTACAGCTACCACATTTTATTTTGATTTTATGACCAGAAGTATCAGCAACATTTCCATTCGCTGCCATTTTAAATTAACTCTTATGCTTGTGGAAGAATTAGAGAATAAAAAATGTATAAATTTATAAATAACGTATAATATGTCTATACTAGTGCAAATCAGATTCTTTCACGAGAACCGGAGGTCCTGTATGTTACAGAATCGTGATCTGAGTCTTATCTACTTATTTGTTAAAAATATTCGCTAAATCAGATGTAACAATATAGTGCCCTTATCTCGATTCTCGGGCTTATCAGTATGATAATATGACTTTACCTAGAGTGTATATTAAAATCGTTGTGATTTTGTATGTTGTTGTGTGAAATTGTGTAGTTTTGTGTGGTGATTTTTGCTATTTAGTTGTTTGTGAAGTTTTCGAAAATACTGTTGCACTGAACTTTGACTGAGGAAACTGCTTGATGCTGATTTACCAGAGAAGCTTCTATAATTATGAAATAAAATGTGCACAGTTTTGTTTGGTAATGTGAAAATGTTTTAGGTAATGTATGGTGGGATGATAAGAGACAAAAATGCTTGATAGTTAAAGAATGTTCATCAGTTCATCTGATAAGCTTAAGGAGATAAGCATTTTCGACCAACCAGATCATTTCTTCAAAAATTGATCGTGGTAGCAATCAAATGATGAATTTGGTTGAGGAGTGAGGATGTACTGAAAAAGATATGAAAATAACTTGATGATATGCTTAATTTAAGGGCTAAAAAAGGATTAGCACCTCTAGCGTGTCCGCTAGATCGGTAAGGTTTTCTGAGGTAACGCTCACCCTGTCATTCCGCCGAATCTTTATTTGTTTATGAACATTTTAGCCAGGGGTCCCCACTTCAGGTTGTAGCGCGATGCGCTACTGTGCCGCGCCGAGCTGAGATGAATTGACATCGTCAATTAACACTTCAGGTAAAATCGCTAAATGGTCACTGAAAAATTCAATTCCGTTAACAGTTAAAAAAACGTTAAAATTATGGTGCAGAGAACACATTTACATTGTACAATTTACTGGCCCGCTTTTTACTTTATAGGTAAACACACAGAAATTGGAGGGCCGGTTAATGGTATTGGTTAAGTTAACATGTAAAGGTTTGGTGATCGTCCATTTTGAAAGCTTTCCCATGTCCCAGGAAATTTTGCTTCCACTCATTCAGTACGTCAAATCTTAATTGGTTGTTTTTAAATTTTTGTTGTATAATAATTCCGTCAAAACGGTAAAATTTCAGCAAAAGAAAGTGTATATTTAAATATGTTAAGTACTGCAACTGGCCAGAGAATGAACACATGGAGAATCCGGGAAGCTGGAGTTACTGATTTGAGCTAGATCAATATTTCATAAATATTGATATCATTGTCAATTAGAAAAGCCAACGGGTAGCAATATTTTATTAGTGAAACTGTGAATATATAGAATTGAGAATGCACAAACTTAAGTTCAGGATGTATACATAAATGCACGCGGAAGTATTTTCAAAAAGAATATTTGATAATTACAGAGTGATCGAATATTACGAAAACTATAAAAGTGGAAAGTTGTAAATTTGACATTTCTTACTCATTATCAAAATGAAGAACTGTATAAAAATAAACTTTACCTAATCTAATTAAGAACTTTAAAACATTTTATAAGATGAGTTTGGAGTAGTATTTGGTATCACTTGTTACTATTAACACCGAGTATTATAAGTGATACGACATTCTGACCACGTGATCACAAATTAATACTCCCGATTGCACATGTGGACGTGTTTGCAAATTCCATCTGGACACCGGGTAGTCCCTCCTGGACATCCGCCGTTATCATCTTCTCGCTCTTCCTCCCTCCTAGATTCAGTGACACCTTCAGGTGACGATGAAGAAGCTGAAGCTTCAGTTCTATCCTCTGTGGGAAGCAGTATTCAGTATTGCTTAATTGTTTTTTCATATTCAATTTTTAATTGGCGGTATCCTGGAAGAAATACTGTTGGATAAGTTATAATTTAAGATGTTATTTAAACTTAAAATCATCTTAGAACAATTTTAAGTTAAACAACAACTTGAATTCTAACTTGTTATTTCTTGGAAATATTTTATACATTGTTCAACACATTTTGAAAATTTCACTTTTTAGCTACAGAGCAGTTTTATTTTTTTTAATTCGAGGTGAATCGACTTATAAATTGAAAAGGTTATCATGAAATTGAAAGTTGTGAAAATTTACCTCCAGTAAAACCGTAAACTCTAACTTCTTTCAGCTCCAAACATTTCTTGTTCTTGTACGACATTCTTTGCACAATTTCAATCCCGGATGCTGAATATTTTAAAATCAAAACCTAATAACTAATAAGCGTGATAACTTGATAATCTTTCAAACAAAAATAAAAAACCTGGTGCTAATTATTCATTCGAAATTTCCATAATTTAACCGCTCTCAAATTTCACTAAACGAAGATAGCAAAAAAAGTGCGGAAATAAACGTGATTGATAATAATCTCACCGTAGGTTCCTTCACAATCCACAGCGTAAGTCTGGCCGTCGCTGGAGGAGGACTTACGAACTGTTATCTCACCACATCGCCTTTTCAGACCCTCCACTTCTTCTACATAAACCTGCGGGGTATTGTCACTAACAACTGGGAGGTGATGATCAAATTAGAAGAAATATTCACTCCGTATATTATGGATTGAATTCGCCAAATATTACTTCTTGTCAAATTTTACTTGTTATTCAAATCGTATCTTTAAAAGAGCGAAACACGATGTTTATGCTTCCTCGCAATAAATGTTATAAAATTTTGAGGAGAATTGTTTGTCATGGTGCTGGAAAATTAAGGAAATAAGATTATGATTTAATGACGATAAAATAAAATTATAAATCAGATAATTACTATAGCTCCGTTCAATTTCTCTCTTTTCTTGTCGAAGTTTCCGTTGAGAATTTCAACTCTCATTACTCTGCTTGGCTCCTCAAACTGAAATGAAATATAAAAATTGGCAAAAGTTGTAACCTTTCAGGGGACATTAAAAACAAATATTTATTTTATCATAGTTAGAGGCGGTCCGTGTAGGCCTTACACTGTGCTTTCAGCAATACTCATAGGTATATTTCAGAATGCGGGTTACAGTAAAAAATAATATCACTTCTTTTCAATTTCTTAAGAGTAAAGGACTTGAACATTTTGATGCCCAATTACTATTAGGAGTCCGAAGGTCGACATGATCGGCGCCTTACCTGATATTTGAACCATGCGTCTTTTTTAGAACACTTTGTTTGTGACCTTGTATTTTCATCACGGTCGACAGCAAAGCTGGCCTCCATTAACCTCTTCTTGATTTTTTGGGTGCTGCTTTGGGTAACCTCCCGATAACCTGCCGAAAAAAATCATGACTTCATGAAAATGGTCGGGAAAATTGAAAATGGTCCAAGATGACCCAGAGCTACTAATTTCTTATCCACAGAGTTCGCCATTTGTACGTTCTAAATGAACAAAGCTCAAAATTACAAGTAATAGGTTACAAAATATATCCTGGTGTTTGAAATTGCTTCACTCACGGAGAAGCTCCGCAGATCGTTCAGTTGCCTCCTCAGTTGCCTCCTCACGGCAAGAGTCGCAAGATCTCCGGCAGTTTGTTCGCATGTAATCTGTGGGAATTGTTTTTAATCGTCTTTCCAACCCCCACATCATATTTATGGATCATGATGACTGAAATTCCTATATATCAAATAATCCAAATATTGTAGTGGTAGTGGTAGTAGTAGTGGTAGTACCATCTCACCTCGATTATCCTCGTTGGTACAGTGTCCCTGTTTAAACCACTTTCTACATTTCTCGTGTTCATCCTCACAGTCTCCAGATCCTGAAATAAAATAAATATTTACAACAGTTTTTGTCGAGCAAGGCATATTTATCTGGCGTCCATCTAATTTGATGTAAGTATTTATGACAGACGAGATAAGTAAATTCTTACACTAAATATTTGGGCAAACTGTTTATGATAAAATCAAACCAACTTACTTTCTTCTTCTTCTTCTTCTTCTTCTTCTTCTTCTTCTTCCTCTTCTTCTTCCTCTTCCTCTTCTCTTTCTCTACAAGCTCCACATGTCCTAGCACAGTTATCCCTCATCCACTCGTAGTACTCATTGCCTACCAAGAACGTCATATTATCATCATTACATCATCATTACGTCATGATTACGTCATGATTACGTCATATTATCATCATCATAATAATATGATCGACACAGGTAGAAAAATGTTGCCTTTAGGTTGTGAATTAAACACAAACTTAAACGCTTAAAACTCGACAGTCGGGATAGACGAACCAACCCAACTTCCAATATTTTAGGCAAGACCTAAAAATCTTGAAAAAGATTGTCAACAACAATATTTCAGTAATATTTTCAATTGATTGGTAAGTACCTTCCACACAATAGCGAGACTCCCGCCAAATAGGACAATTTTCAGTATGCTCTCTGTTATCTTCACAATCTTCCCTCTCTTCTTCCCTCTCTTCTTCCCGTTCTTCTTCCCTTTCCTCTTCCCTTTCCTCCTCTTCTTCTCTTCGGTCGCATGATCGGCAAGTTTTAGCGCAATTAGTCGCCATCCACTCAACAAACTCCCCTGAGGAAGTTATAGTAGTCATAGTGCATCGCAATAAAGATATGTGGAAATTTCATTAAAATGGAGAAATCTGATAATATTCTGCACCCAGGACCCAGTACACTACGAAAGCACTTCCACCAGTCAACAGTAAATAAATTACCTACAGACTCATCAACTTTATACAATATAAATCATAATGTCTCTAATAGGTAATTATAATTACCTTGGGTGCAGTAGCTGTACTCGTCCTCCCAATTGCTGCACTCGGTATCAGTCCTGGTGTTGGTGCAGCCATCTTCTCTCTCTTCTTCCCTCTCCCTGCACGCTCCACAACTCTTCCAACAGTTAGCCTGCATCCACTCCGAGTAGTCTCCTGTTAATAAGGAAGTTTTAAGTATTTAAGACGTATTTGAGTTGTGAAGTTATAAATGTTCAAATACGATATCAAAGTGTTAACAAATTAAGAAATAATGCACTGTAACAAATATATAATATTATCACACTTTCGAGCCAAATTTGGCAGGAAAGCAGAATTGATATTACATGCCCCGATGAGGAGCACTGGCTCTCACCCGGGGGCATGAAATATCAATCAGTTGCTCAGAGAGAGTCCGATATTCCCATAGGAACAAGGAGCCCACTTTCAACAACTGTTCTACTACTGTGAGGTACTGATTTAAATAAAGATTTAAATCAACAACCTGAAGTAGTCTATGACCGTAAATGCAATGATCAGATAAATTTTCCAGATTCAGGAAAAGTATATATTTATACCTTGTTTTAAAAACATTTCCTTGCGTTTGAGATGTGTTAAGCCAAATACAATTTTTTGTTGTAAAACTTTTTCAAGCTGTTGCTTTTTTACTGCACTTCATAGTTCAAAACCTAATTAGGCTTCGGATGATGAAACAAAGTAAAAACTCCCTGGTTTGTACGAGTTTCAAGCGACTTAAGGTTACTGAAAACGAGATCAAAGTTTACAAGCAGACTTGAAAGTTGCACAAAGTTTTGGTACTTGTCAGCGATACAATCAATCAGGCTCATTAATTTCCTTAATCGCTTACTTGAAATTAAAAAGGAAGTGTCAGAACAAACTACAGTCACCCTCACAAAAAGTAGTAAACACAGAAACGATGTTTGATCTATTCGAAGGAAGAAAACACACAAAACAAAGCCAGATTTCAGCCATTTCAGACCTGAATTTTAACCCCCTCTGATCCCTTCTTTGAGCCATATTCCATATAGAAATTGTGCAGAAATTATACTTGGCTTTTCCAAACCGGTTTCGCCTAGATTAGCTTGCGAAATTCGTGGCTGATCTATGAACAGACTGATAAAGAGACTTATAGATTCTGTACAATAAAGAGCGAAAATATTATCCCAGGACCAGTTTTAACTGAATTTTAGTTAGTGCAAATATTATAAGTGCAATAAAAACATCCTATAAAATATATTATCTATATAAATATATCAAGGGACGAATGACGTAACTTAATCAGCTAATCTGGTTATAAATCAGTCTGGGCACTGTGGCAAACAGGTCCGATGATTAATGTGCTGCCATTCTTTAGACCAATTCAATATTGGTAACAGTACGGGTGAACTACCTGGCCATGACCAGGGTGGTTATAGGCTGGTGGAGTACTGCGTTCTAAAATGTTGAAGAGATACATTTAATTATTACAACTGTTCTGATAATTTCCAGTTCAGATGATTTCTAGCGAAGCAGATAATGGCAAGTAAAGATGAATACTGACTAAGAACTAACTAGACTATACTCGATAAAATTCTAAGTCAACGATTACAAGTTGCATTGATTAAATCATTCTGAAATAACAGACAATCAAGAATCAAGACGGACGATGATATTGTTGATGTAAATTAGGGTGTGTAGTGTATAATGTGGACTGATGAATAGCCCACAGCTCTATTCAAACTCGTAGAGACATGAGACCTTGACTAAAGTTAACCATTTTATACCATTACTATAAGAGTATGACACTTTCAGAGTCCTGAACAAACTCCTATATCACTTAATCGTCTATTATATGAGTTTTACCTGTTAAAATATATCATCTTTATAACTATAATAATAATTAATTAATAATGCGTCACACCAAACTTACACACAGTATATAATACATTTTCTTAAGATATACAAAAAGATTCCAAATTGAACTTTGATTATATCCTGGGACTGATTAACATTTCTCGATTGTTCTCCATTCTCCAATGCAGTGCAGTCAGAAAGTTCAGATTTAGGTAGACTTGGTTTTCGAATCTTTGTATGTTCAGAAGCAGGCCATGGCCAGAAGGGGTTTGGTTACCAAAGGAATATCTTCGTGGAACAAGGAAATTAATGAGGTCTTCGTTGATTTCTTCATAACTCGTCACTGACAGGATGAGTATTGACGAGATCCACTGATTACTTCATAGCTCGTCATTGATAGGATCAGTATTAATGAGGTCGAATGATTACTTCATAGCTCGTAACTAACTGGATCAGCATAACATGACTCACGACTAACGAGGTCTAGTCATTTCTTACTGATACGTCAAGACAAGGTCAGTAAATAACTATAAATATCGAAAAAATTGCTTACAAATTACAGAGTGCAAATGCCTTCTTCACAACTATCGGCTATGAACGGAACAGATGAATCTCTTCTTTGGCTTCATCTTTTTAAATGACTCAGTCCCTCTGAAACGAGATAATGCTTAGGACTAGGAGGAACTTAGTTAAGTTCTCGTAGGATTCGCTAAGAGGAAAATTACTTAGTAAGCTAACATTCTTTGTAGCATGTTACCACTTATCATATCTGTTATCCAGCATAATCCCACAACTAGACCCTCTCATTATTAAGTCTTGACAATGACAGCAGCAATGTGCACTATGTTAATGCTCGGTCCAGGTCGTCTCCAAGAAAACCTTCCTTTTATATACTCTCAGATTGTGTGTTAGTTTGGTGTGAAGTAAATTATTTTCTTTTTTAAAGCTAACAGTGTTAAACTAAATTGATATCAGTTAAAGATGATATATTTTAACAGGTAAAATTTATATAATAGACGATTAAGTGATATAGGAATTTGTTCAGGACTCTGAAAGTGTCATACTCTTATAGTAATGGTATAAAATGGTTAACTTTAGTCAAGGTCTCATGTCTCTACGACCTTCGCTTTTGGCGCAGTGAATCTCACGCTTCAGCGCAATGCGCAAACTCCTGCAGGAACTTCCCGACATTGTAGAGACCTGAGACCTCGACTAAAGTTAACAATTTTCTACTGTTTATATTAGAGGAGCACACATTTAGAACTCCTTCCATACTCCTTCATGACTTAATTGACGATTTAGAGAATTTTACCTGTATAAGAAACGCTATAAAAATGGGCGTGGCCCATGACGACATTATCCGAAACACTAGAGTCAAAAAATTTTTTTTGGTTGTTCCTGACCCTATAGAGCAACTAATAAGATAGGGTCTCTAATTATTTGAACAACTTTTGGTAAAATGAACCGGTCTAATTCAAATACAAGAACTAGGAAATTCTTTCACCTTATCGCAGATACAGATTATACGATAAGGACTGTGATGTATAATCAACGCTTAAACGGATGTTCTATACATCATACATCTACAGTTTTAATGACTCCAAAAATATCTAATAGAAATAAAGTATTAGAATCACCAAACATCGATTGATTTGCAGGATGTAATAATTACGTATCAAACGCGCTCGTGGCGGAATATTCTAGACGCCAATAAGTACAGGTCCCATTCTCGATAAATATATTAATATTCAATGCACTACGTATCACTTATCTGTATAAAGCAAATTGGGCGCGGCATACAGCATTCACTGTGTCATAAATGTGATGAGCACGTGAGATCTTAATTGTACGTATTGTATCTTCGATATCTGAAATACTAACTCATGATCGAGAGCTATATATAGCTTGGACATTATAAACATAAATAAGTTCGACATGTCTAGTTTGCTTTGGTGAGATTTATAACTAACGTTTGATCAAATTCTGCTTTCCCGGCCAAATTTGGCTCCAAATAATGGCAAATAATGGCAAGTAAAGATGAATACTGACAAAGAACTAAGTAGCTACTATACTCGATAAAATTTTAAGTCAACGATTACAAGTTGCATTGATTAAATCATTCTGAAATAACAGACAGTCAAGAATCAAAACGGACGATAACATTTTTGATGTGAATTAGTATAGGGCGTGTGGTGTATAATGTGGACTGATAGATTATAGACACTAATTATAGCTCCACAACTCTATTTAAATACAAGAACTAGGAAATACTTTCACCTTATCGCAGATACAGATTATACGATAAGGACTGTGATGTATAATCAACGCTTAAACGGATGTTCTATACATCATACATCTACAGTTTTAATGACTCCAAAAATATCTAATAGAAATAAAGTATTAGAATCACCAAACATCGATTGATTTGCAGGATGTAATAGTTACGTATCAAACGCGCTCGTGGCGGAATATTCTAGACGCCAATAAGTAGAAGTCCCATTCTCGATAAATATATTAATATTCAATGCACTACGTATCACTTATCTGTATAAAGCAAATTGGGCGCGGCATACAGCATTCACTGTGTCATAAATGTGATGAGCACGTGAGATCTTAATTGTACGTATTGTATCTTCGATATCTGAAATACTAACTCATGAACGAGAGCTATATATATAGCTTGGACATTATAAACATAAATAAGTTCGACATGTCTAGTTTGCTTTGGTGAGATTTATAACTAACGTTTGATCAAATTCTGCTTTCCCGGCCAAATTTGGCTCCAAAGAAAGTGTGATAAAACATTAATCACATGCCTTCTCATGCGATATCAACATTTTCAAAACTCGGCAAGCCTCGTGATTGAAAATGTCGATATAACCCTCGGCAAGCCTCGGGAAATATCGAAACTTTCGCTAACTCGGCAAGCCTCGTGGGCGAAAGTTTTGATATCGCATGAGAAGGCATGTGATAAATGTATAATATGTATAATATGTGTATAATTTGTGTATGATATGTGTATAATATATGCAATAGTGTATGAACACCAATTACCTGTATCGCAATATCCAGAAGCGGCCCAATCCCCACAGTTAGCAGCATACTGAGCATTGTCAGCACAATCTGACGATCTGTCATCATCACGGTCATCCTCACTGTCATCCTCACGGTCATCATCACGGTCATCCATTCTGGAGTAACCTACAGAGGAGGGGAATTGATCAGGAAGACGTTATCTATTCCATTGAATTAAATATGCGACAAGAGAAACACCGTCTAAGGACATGATGAGAGATGGTACTACTCGGACTACATAAAACATATTCCTTCTGTAATGTAATAGATTTGTGTTGTATTGAGTTAATGTATCGATTCCAGACCTATAAAATTTTTAAAAGGGTGGCATGATTACTGAGTAGATTGATAATGTTTCAGAAAAGCACGAAATAAAGAACTGACTGATGCCGTATACGTCGCTGAGCAGGTTGCAAATGCTTCTGTCCCCTGACCTTCTGAATCTACCGTAACCTTGGTTACCCCAATCTGCTCCCCAACTGTGAAAAGAGAAAGTCTGTTATTAATATCTGCTTAAATGAATTTGATGGGCATTCATATAAAGCTTTAAACAGCTCATCATCATTGAACATGATTCTACATTTCTTGATATGGCTAACTACAATGTTAAACAATGTTAAACAATGTTAAACAATGTTAAACAATGTCAAACAGTGTTAAACCTCAACTAACCTGTTTCTTATCTCCCAGTATCCGTTTCCGTATCCAGTCAGAGTAACAGCATGGTTGGATGGGTAGTAAGAGTTACATCCGTCGAACACTCCCGCACCAATGGAGTAGAAGGCGTTGTCCACGAAGAATGCGACGGCCAGCGGGGAAATCTACGGAAGGGACGTTCAGTATTACGGGTTACTTTTGAGGGAGGCGAGACAAATTGATTAGATTATTTGATCAATGCTAGTCTTGGACCGAACTCATCATGGTACATTGTTGGTCCGATAAAATCGTGCTTAGTATACGTTTACACATGCGTTTATGATCATTAAGTGCATAGATGAACATGACAGGAACATAAGATAAGATTAAAATTTCAAAAGATGTACCTGCATCTTGTCTACAACTTGTGATGCTGCAACTTTAAAGTAACTGTTCAGTTTGACTTTTCCTTCCAGAGCGTTGGTGTAGTAACTGTCGTAACACCGTCCTGGAGAGTAAAACTTATATTATTAAGCATACTTTAGATAACGACTTAATCAGTTAATTAATCGATTGATTAATGAATTAATTAAATAAATGAGACTGCGAGCTATCACTAGCCCCACAAAGGTAAAACTTTACAAACTGATAAGTTTACTAAATGTAACCACAAACTAACCATCGGCATTCTTGTATACATATTCGCGTTCACTGGCCAGTTTATTGTTATTCTTGATGATGTAGTCCCATGCTTGGTAATACCATCCTCCTTGGCAAGCGTTGTAACTCTGTTTTTCGTAGGTGCAGTCCAGCAATTGCTAAAAAGTGGTATATTTTATTAATAATTATCATATTTGGGAGGTAGAATTACAATTATACAACATGAAGTACATTCGGATTGAACTGTATGGTTAATAGTAGACTTAAAATGTCCCTGAATGTTCGTGGCATTTATTATTGCCAGCGATTCTTAGTAAGGTTGATGTTGTGACATTTTACCTGTTCAGAAAGAGCGATCTTTCGTCCTGAAGTCGTTTGAACGGCAAATTCTAGAAGAGCTGTAGCTGGGAACGTCCAACAGCTTCCACATGTTCCCTGATCCTTGATTGCTGCAAAATAACATTTTATTTTATTTTGAAATGTAAGATAACAACTGACTTGTTTTGTCAAACTACATTAATTCTACTAGTAAAATATAAAATTAAGAAATTAATAAAACCAAATTATATGAATTGTCAACCTCTAAGTATATTTAAATAACATCTTAGTGTTTTAATGATTGTGACTCACGTCCAAGTTTGCTTCTCCAGTCCACGGAAGTAGCGGCCCTGGTTCTTCCAAGACCAGCTGATCCGAGACCGCCTGAACAAGGAACTGGTAAGTATTTTAGTTTTCTTCTTTTTTGACGAATAATTTGTTCTTGTCCGTGTTTAAAAATAATGTTGATGGTTATTGACTTGATACAGAGGTATGTGAAAAAATAAGTGTATCCACCGACCATCACCATATCTGTGAAAGTGTTGGCCCCGACGTAAGTTCAAACGGTTATTAATTTGCAACAAGGACAAAGAAACTTACGCCCAACAGTTGCGTTGAACAGACCACGCTCACGATCTCCCATCGGAGATCTAGAAGTTCCAACTCCGAAAACTGGACGAGGGTTAACAGAATCTTGGCCCAAACCCAGGAACATTCTCCTGTTGGCCTCGTCCATAACTGCGAAGGAGTTAACAACCATCTTGTAGGACTCTTCTCCGCGAGCGTACCTTGGAGTAGGAGTTTGTATCACAAACTCGGGGAAACAATAAACTCATAAAGCAAATCGTTCTAATAATAATAAATTATAAGAAATTGGGTGCAGAATTATTTTGTATCACCTTATCAAACTTACCTTTTATTGTGTTCTCTGATAGTTCGGATATTACGAACGAAAATCTCCTTCTGGTTTCTCCTCTCCTCGGCAAGATCGCTGGGGGTGGTGGAACCTCGGAAACCTTCTGGTTCTATATCATCGTACACCGTCAGAAACCTCGCGAAGGCATCCTGAAATTAAATTTTAATATTCTTTTCAGGCCTGTGATTTGTATTTGAGAGGTCTCTAAGTATAATTATTTGTGGTTAAACAAACAACTGAGAAAAGGATACTGAATTATGTGAGAAATGTGGACAAGAGAAAACTCACATCGTCGTCAGCAGATATGATACGATCCTTTTCTTCCTCGGAAATGACTTTCCTCGTAGTTTTATAATTGACTTTAGCCAAGCATACCCCTACCGTCACCAAAACAAGAAGGGTCCGCAACATTCCCCTCTTAAAAACAGCCAATGTCAAGATAATTAAAACAGCCAATTAAATGTCAAGATAAGGAATAGTTTCAGGGCAGAAACAAAATTGCGTTTTTTCTCTTCGGGGTAAGGATTTAAGCAAAAAAAACCGTCCGGACCTATTTAACCGGAGCCAAATTAGAAATGGATCAATTAATGCATTTGATAGATCCTCGGAATTGAAATCAGTCAGTTCAAATCTCTTTTTCGGAGAGTCGAATTTTCAATATACCTCATCACTCAACAGTTAGGACTTGCATGGTGAACAAAATTGCAAGGTTTACTTTAGGTTTACTTTATATTGGTTTACTTTAGGTCTATTTTATAGTGCTTACGTAAATTTTTAAGCCATGATACAACTATAAAAGTCGAGAAAATGACTTTTATTTGCAGATTTTAACGAATCAAGTAGGGTAAGGTAAACAGCAAAATTCATTCATACTAGCACAAATGAATTATAAAAAAGAGATGGTATAGATAAACAACCGGAAAAGGGGCCATGAAAATCTCTTCTGAAGAAAGATGGCAGTATCTCGAGGCAATTATCAAAATGGAAATTATTTAATTCGTTCCCAGCGGCGTGACGTCAAGACGAAGTCCAAATGGAGGTTTCAAAATTTCCACGTCACTGGAGAGGATGAATTTAAAAGAGTCTACAAGACTGAGTATGAAAACATAAAATTTACAGACTAAAATTTTTAGATGGAGAGAAAATATCAGATTAACCAACATATTATGCAAAGCTATAAGAATAGTTATAGCTGAACTGAAGTTGAAAATTATTGACTGAAGCTATTTGATAAGTTCAAAATTTGATTATTATCAACCAAAGCCAGGGTTAAAATGTGCCAACTGAGAATAAGTAATCAGATTAGAGGTCTGTGTGCTGCTAAAATTTACGGACTTATCGAATTTTATGAAAATATAGCATGCGTGATTGGGTATAAGTATGAGGCTCTTCTACGCAGTGGCGGGTCATCAAATTTCATATTAATTAAGATAACTTAATAATCTGGGATGAAATGGCAGATTCCCGTTTCAAATTTAAATATTTATCTGATTTTCACCAAGCACAGTTTTTGTGACACACTCCAAAAATAAATTTAATCAAGAAGGTTCGATGCAAGGCCGGGTCAGAGCAAAATGGCAAGCTGCCAGAATCGTTCCAAAGAATTGTCTCTGTAAACGTCAGTAGAAACTAAAATAGAGTAAACTAATGTCGGCCCTTAATAAGGTTGCTGTATGAACAACTATTTGACGATGATTTTATTTATTTCATGAAGATGCATTAAATTTAGGAAGAATTTCTTGCTGTTTTGGAGAAAATTATTGAATTATAAGAATAATTAGATTATTATTAGAGGTGCACTTTGCAAGAGAGGGGCTAATGCAGATAACAGAACAACGAGATAATCAGGTCACGTTATTTTGGCCAAATGTTGGGTCAGGCAGTGAATGTCCCGAAAAAGGGATGTGAAACGAACATTTTCTTCATTCCTGCCACTAATGGCAAGGCTGTCATTCAAAATTCTAGAAGTTCGTAAAAGAATGTAAAAAATAATTTACTCGGTTAAATAACCGCGTATCTATAAGTATAATATTAATAGGTGAGCTGGCTAAATTTAGTAATTTCTCTTTCTAGCTTAACTGTCTGGCGGATTACTTTTGACAAGTGAAACGATTTAATTTTATAGGGTAAATTTCTAAATAACTTATGCCAAATAATAATATGTGCTTTAAATTCTGTTATTATCCTTAAAATTGGTTCCTGTGATTCTGTCACTATCAACTTTGGAGTTGAACCATTCTAATTTTGGGGCATGGAATTTAGCGGCCGTTCAGAAACCAATAATAACGGCCTCAATTATTGTTTTTAATCGTCAGGGCCGCAATTTAATCTGCTTTTTCTGCTGCAGCTTATCTGTTCTGATATCTTGGTTAAGTTTAATCTTTATTTACACGCGGTGGCCTGTTTTAGCGTCGATTTACTTCTAGACCTAAGAGCCATGGTTTTTTGCGCGCTTTGTGACGTGTCAGTCCCTTTTGCATCCTTCGTATTAGTGGAAGTGGAACTTTTAAACGGACTAATTAGACCCTTTAGGGTGTTGATCGGGATTGCGATTTATATTACAGTCAATGTTACCTAAAACTATGGTATCTTCTACTTCTATCTCTGCTACATTCCCTGTTCTTGGCTTTAGCAAGATATCCTCCCATTTTATGTGTCTTTGTTCCCCGTATGTCTCCTCTATGTTCGATCCTATCCCCGCATCTGACATGGCTTTTATTTCGTCCGCGCTGAGTTCCTTGGAAAACACGTTGAGTTTCGCCATTTCTCCTCCAAAGGGGTATCCTGCAGCCGCACCGTTGTTTCCATTGTTACCATTACAATCGTTGCCTATGACAAGAAAGCCATTCAATGGAATTGGGACTCCGGCAGAACCTTTTGATCCAGTATTTAAGAGATCGCCACCATAGTATATGCTTATTGTGTTTAGTGATCGACTCCAAGTTGAGCATAAATGATACCATTTTCCTATTGGCACGGGTCCTATTAGGTCAAGCCAAAGGACGGGAAATCCGAACCAATTGTTCCATTGTCCACTATCTGATATGGCTATTTCCCCTCCCATGTCATATCCGAACCAGATGGTGTTATGTTCAGACCGCAACTTTTTGATCCAGGAACATACTGACATTGCCTCTGTGAACGGTCCCATGTCCGGCTGATATTCAATGTAGCTAGTTCCATCGTCGCCGAACTTCAGACCTGTTCCGTTTCTTCCGGTTAGTTCGATCGCTGTGGAAAGCACACCCTCGTCAATAAGTTATAAATAGAATAGTATTTGTCAAGAGAAAAAAACGATCAAACTAATATAATATTTTATGTCAAAAGGAGTCGGGGATAAATGCTTAATTCAAATATAATTTCATATCATATCATATCACGCGTGTCTCACCTTGATACGCTTGTGCAAGTATTGATAGAATTATCAATAAAGTGAAGCAATTCTTCATTGTGTAGGAATCTTGTCTCGTTCTCAAAAGTTCTCTGACCTTGACTGATTTCTAGTTTCACATTAACTTCTCTAATGTAGTATGGAAATGTTAACATAAACGAATTGATTTTGTTAAAGACAAATACAACAAAAAACACGCTAAGTACAAAATAGACGGATGTTTTTAAGTATCGCACTTTATGGGTATAAGACACATCTTACTACTGCAGTGGTGGACATTACAGAAAACCAGCTCAATCTTAACTATAGATGTCGACAGAATACGCTGGTAATGGTACCTAAGTTGCGAGAGAGAGAGAGAGAGAGAGAGAGAGAGAGAGAGAGAGAGAGAGAGAGAGAGAGAGAGAGAGAGAGAGAGAGAGAGAGAGAGAGGGAGAGAGAGAGAGAGAGAGAGAGAGAGAGAGAGAGAGAGAGAGAGAGAGAGAGAGAGAGAGAGAGAGAGAGAGAGAGAGAGAGAGAGAGAGAGAGAGAGAGAGAGAGAGAGAGAGAGAGAGCAAGCAGTTACCTGGGGACCTCCGGCTTTTGAGTTCATAAACACACCGATTTAAGATATGGCGGAATGGCCGCCCCACCCAGTAAGCAAGCAGGTGATCTGACTAACTTCCACTAGACGAGCTAACTGAATAGCTCCTAACTGAATTGAGAGCGAGCAAGTGACCCGCTGTCATTACGAACAATGACAGCTAGACCAGGATTCCTGGACCAGGAACCACTGCTGCATTGGAGACTGAGGACTGGTGGAAGTGTTCTATTCCATGTTTATACTCAGGAGCTACGTAGAGTTGTACAGCATCAAACAAAGAAGAAAACTGCTACGATCAAAATTCAAACCCAAGGTTATAGATCTAGCTACTAGTGACTAGGAAATTGGTATACCTTACTACAAGCTTCATTGTTACCAGAGACGAGAGCCTTGGTCGAATCCTCCAAAAATATCAGCCACTCTGGCTGCTACCTTCAACTTGAAGGTAGCAGCCAGAGTGAAGTTCAAGACATAACTCGGCTAGACAGTGTCTAAGCTGCTATAAGTGTTTCGTATATTATTCTGTATCAATACCTGGGGAACCACGAAGAGTTTACCAGCGTCAAGAAAAGAAGAAAACTGCTTCGATAAAACCCCGGCTATTGATCTAGATACTAGTGGTGAGGCTAAGTATATCCGTTTTTACACGTGACTGTTATTTTGTAAATCCATTGGTTGCTGGCTGCTGCTAAAAGCTCATTGGTCATGGTGAATCGCTGACACGTGTCAAGCAGGAAAACATCTAGGGTGAACAGTACTGTGAATTGTACTGTGAGTCACAGTCTGTGACCGGTACCGTTCAAGGTACCGTTCACAGTGTGCAGTGTTTTGGGAGAAATAGTTATGACAAGATTTAAAAAAATTAATTGAGTTCACTGATTAAGTGCTGGATCACGTATCTGCAAGATCTTAAAAGGGTCATAACTCGGTTCAATTGTGAACAACCAACCTGAAATTTTGGGAAAGCACTTCAATTATCAAACCAAATGTGTCTAAAAACTTTGAAGTTTCTAGCTGAAAGCGTTCTCACTTTATAGTGACAATAGTGAAAAAGAAGGAGTGGCGTACCACACGAGCACACGAAACTATCAAGAAATCTAAGTTTGATCCATATGGCATATCTACTTATCTATAATCTCTGAAATTTTCTGAAATGAGTTGCTTGTGGGCAGTTACTTCTGGGCCACCCTGTACTATTATACTATACTATATTATTACTAGGGGGTGCACGATAAAAATAAACTTGCTCGGATTTTAAAAATTTTTGTACCACTGTTTTCTAGAGACTGTGAGAATTTTCACAATACCAAATTTGTCATACCTTTTTGGAAAGATCAGTGAGTTTCACCTAGGTGCCATATTTGATGGTGTGCGGCTTTTGGAGCAAAAGTAGTTGTAAAATTCGCGTAATTTGACCAAATTCGTCCAAATTTGACCATTTTTGTCGTATTATTCGGATTTATCTCCAGTTCCTTAAATGAGATCATTCTGGAAATTGGCGACGACCTTCCAATAGGGCTTTTACAACTGTCCGAAAAATTTGGTGGATATCGGAGTTGATATAGTGATCAAAATGGGGCAAAATACGCTGCTTTTAGCTGTAACATAATGTTTGATGGTTGGATATGCTTAAAATTTTTCGGACACTTTCCTTGTAAGTCTATGAGTAAGCTTACCAATTTTTGTTGCAATTAGAGGTCGGGAAGGATACTCAATATCTATTTGTTTGAAGAAAATTGTGCTGGCCGAAATTAGCGCTAAAAAACCATCCTACAGTCGGCACGCGCGGCTCACTACACTGTCGATGGCGCACTACCTATTATTACCATCTTTAATGCCATTAATATCTGATTTGTTTTATACGCGTTAGCACGTGTTGGTTGCGTTGTCATGGCGAACAAAATCGCGCGCGACAAATGTGCTGAAATCCTTGAACTGCACGCGGGTCATATTTATTTCCACACTAGTTAATTCGTTGTATGCCATCAAGTTACCTACGACAGTTATCTACCACTAATCTTGTACTGAAAATATAATATCCTTAATGGGATTCCAAAGAGCAATTCAAACTGCTATCCGGAAATGTTCTCGAACAAGACGACCAGCCGAGCTCAACTCTTAAGGTGCTTACATTCAAACTGTGTTGACAATTTTCGACTTGAAAATTTTGGTCTTTTATCAGTCACCAGTCATGCTGCATAAATTTTTTGTTTGTTTAGCGCTTGATGTTCATACTGACTGACTAAGATTGACCAAAATTCGTAATCAGAGTAAAGAAGAGAAATAGCTCTTCAACAACTGGGGCAGCTGATCGAGGAAAAGGACGCTTACAAATGTCAAATTTGGTTTGAAACGAACGAAAAAGGT